TGGCGGATAGATTAGTGAGTATTTGCCATTTGTTGGTGAGGACGGGCTGTGCAAAGACTCTGTACCCAAATGATAGGAGACGATATGTTGCCATCTCATTTTTTATTACTGCTGAGCTACAAAACCCTATTAACTCTTCCGCTTAATTATTCTCACTGAAGTTTTGGTCCAAGATTTGTAAAATTAAGTTGGATGAATATTGTATTCAAAAGACACCAAATGATTAATCTTTTAAACTAACACTGTCGAGTATAGGTTTACAGGATCGTTAAAAATTGATCTTTTCATTCTATATGACGAACATCTAAATCGTTAACCTAATATACTTTATAACCTGACTTTTGTAGCTGCACATTTCATTTAATGCTTATATGTAATTCAAACAGATAGCGGGTCAGACTGGAGGCGACTGTAGGCCCCATTAGTTGATTTCGTCAGTTAATTGGATTTCTCAATCTTGTATGTCTAGAGAGGGTGTTCCTACAGTGTCTAACGAGGAATGGATGAATGAATGTTGGAGTGATGGTAGATGCAGTAAGTGTGGCCATACTGGTGACTGAATGTCTTATCAGTCTTCATATTGGAATCACAGGCGTATGTGCAAGTGAATAAAAGATTGGAAAGTATACACAAGGTTCATAAAACTTTAGAAATTAAACGAACAAACTAAAGTAGAATGTAATCAAATAAAATGTAATAAGGTAAGTAGTCAAATTCAAAATTGTTCTACTAGATATATTGGCGAGATGTATTAGTTAGCGTTAAAACTGGACAAATAGATTCGGATCGTCTAACAGTACTGAATAGAAACTGAAGATATTTCTACTACCAGAAATATAAAAAAATTACCAAATTTGCCAGATTTTTAAAGCAAAAACAAAAGTAAATGTTTAATTACAAGGCAAGAAATGATTACGTATAAACGTGAAAGCCAAAAAGGTCTCGACGCTTCTTGTCAAAGCTTCTTTTGTAATCAATAAATCGTAAGAATTAGGCACTGTGCTAAAATTGCTGGGGTTATGAATGTAGTCTAAGCTTCCTTAAACAAACAAGTCCGTGGCGTATGATCGTTAAATTTGGTTTAGGTCAGGTTGTGGAAATATTATTTGAATAGATATTCTCAAATGTGATTTATATTAATTTTGTAAACATAAATGATTTGTGCTGGGATAATCACAAAAAACGTGATTGACTTGTACGCAAGTATCCTCATAGGACAAATTAAACGAAAATAATCACTTTCGTGATTCAACACGAAAATAAAAACAAGCTTCTTGCTTTGCTACGAAGGGAAGGCATGCTGCCAAATGAGGCAGCATGCCAAGTGCCAGAACTCTTAGGACCTTCAGCGTACCCTCCTGGGGATGGAATAGTGGTAGGTCATATCTGATATTGCTGTGAATACCCTGACAAATGGAAGACTGATACAGGAGCCACCTAGTTATAGCTATTAATGTATAGCAAGAACCGGGGACTGCACCAAGGCAGTCCCCGTTTAACTAAAAAAATACTCAGACGTGAAAGCTGAAGTATTAAAAGCTATGACAACTTTTGTAATAGGTATTTTTTATGGTTATTTTGATTTCGGGGCTTAGCTTCCCCGCGGCCCGGTCCTCGACGAGGCCTCCTTTTTTATACACACCGCTAGGAAGCAGCCCGTAGCAGCTGTCTAACTCCCAGGTACCTATTTACTGCTAGGTAACAGGGGCATCAGGGGTGAAAGAAACTCTGCCCATTTGTTTCCGCCTCCACCGGGGATCGAACCCGGAACCTCAGGACTACGAATCCGAGGTGCTGTCCACTCAGCTGTCAGGCACAGTAACCAGACCATCAGTGAACAAGGGGCATTAGTTAATAGGAAACATCGACCCAGCCACTTTGACTGGACGGTAGAGCGACGGTCTCCCTTCATGCAGGTCGCCGTTCAATCCCCCACCGTCCAAGTGGTTGGGCACCATTCCTTCCCCCCGTCCCATCACAAATTCTAATCCTAAGCCCTTTCCGGTGTTATAAAGTTGTAATGGCTTGGCGCTCTCCCCTGATAATTAAAAAAATAATAATAAAAAATAATAGGAAACATGCCCAAACGCTTCGTCCTGTCTGGTAATCAAACTAACCGGTTGAGAGCCTACTGCCATAACGACAGAGCTAGAGGTTGTCGCCCGTAAAAACAGTGTTACATTTTCTAAAAGGAGCGGTGACGTGAGGCCTTGACATTGTAAACATTCCCCTCACTTAGTAAGCTTCAGTTTGCCATGCCGCCGAGCAAGACGGGTCGCCTCTGGCATTATTGATTGCTCGTGGCTACAGCGCCTGCATCAGGAAATTGACAATTAAAAATGGGTTATCCAACTACGTATAAATATTTGTTTTATTTGACATTAGTACAATGATCAAATTGTTTTTTTGTCAAGCAGTCACACTATAGAAAAATTTGAAGATAAACTTGCTTAATCACAGTATTGAAAATATACTTATAATTTTCATAATAAGAACAGCTGGGCGTATGAAAACGGATCTGCTAGATTAAATGTGGATAGAGGGTAGAAATAGCCTAGGATACTTTATTCTTTTGGGATGTATTTTATTTTAATAAACTTGCTTCAGCTTGAAGTGTGGTACTATGCCTATTTGTTGCTTTTGACTGTTGGTATAACACTTATCGGCAGGATGTGTCGTGTTTATGGAAGCATTTGTTTGAGTAAGAAGATGGAGTGTATTATTATGACTTTGTTATAACTGAATGCATTTAGCTTGTGAGTGTACATGTACAAAATGTTCGTTTGTATATAGAAAGTCGTGTGTACAACATATTCGCTTACGTGACCATCTACGTATAGAAACAATTCGGATTAGTCCAACTATGGAGGATACACAGGGAAGCCCTTGATTTCTCATAGGTTACAGGACACAAAATATTACAGGAGTACCTTCATAAAGAGTCGCACCAAATGATACAAAAAATACATAAATCTATCAAACAACTAAACCAAAGTGGTACATAATATCGGTGACCCGCTTAACAAGTGCATCGTTAAAGTAGTAGGCAGCCAGGTACATGATTTCATTTGGAAGCATTTGGTTAACTGGGTAACGTGCGCTGCGCTGGAAGCCGTTTGTATAAATAATGTTTGGGCAATTTTTGTCATTGGATGTTAAGTAATTTTGTCCTTCGCATTCTACCCATCGACATTACTGTTGTCTGTCTGTAAGGCACATAATTAGCAGATAAATCTAGAGTATCTGCGTTTTAAAAAAAAGTAAAGTGAAACTGTTTAGTTGTGACCACATCCTTCATACGTTATATAAATGACACTATCACCATTCAGATTTGGCTACATCACTATCCACAACAATCTTGTAATATAAATTACTTTCAACCGTAATAATGTACACTGCATTGCACCAGCATATTAGAATTCAGTTTTATGAAAGCTGTGTTTATAGCCCATATTTTTTTTTTTTTTTTGCAAAAAATGCAAGCAGTGAACGATAATTACGGTAGAGTGGATCAGAGGAATGTTCATCGAACTTCACAATATCCAGTGATTTTTGCAGTTTTAAAAGTGCTCTTTATTTTCAGTTTCGATAAAAGGAATTCTTATTCTGCAACTATGTACAGTACACGTGTTGGCAAGGCGGACGATCTTCGTTGGACCTCCTCACTTATGAGGGGGGATAGAAATAGCCTAAGCTACTCTATCCCTTTGAGATGTATTTCTTTCTTGTCTCAGTAAACATACTTTAACTTGAATCCTCACTTAGGTCCGGAGGGTACGGTGCTGTGGACTTGCATATATGAATTTCAGAATCTGTTGCTCCTGGATCACATTTGCACATCCTCGTAAACAAAATGTTTTCGTTAACTGTCAGGTTACTGGTGAAGCGCCACCGAAGGCGCAGTTTGGTGCAGTTGGTGAAGGCACAGGGCCTCGGAGTCCATATCCGTCAGGTAGAGGACGTCGCCAATACTTAAATTGTCGGCTTGACACGCTCTCCCTTCTGTCTTCCCTCGAGGAGGAGTTTGCGACACCACCGTGCCGGACATTTCTCGTTTCTTTGACCCGAAATCGTGTTTGGTGGCACCGGGATCACCTCCGTCTGCCAAGGCGGGAGCTGCGGGGAGGTTTGGTGTGTTCATATTGATTTACAGGGAAGGCTCATGTGCGGTGGTGGTGAGCAGGACACGGCGGCGGAGGCAGCCAGACTGGTAGCAGCGGCCTGACCCAGCAGTGATGGTGGGAACTGTGCCAAATGACGTCACAGGTACGACAGTTTCTTCGTGATGACGTCATAGGTACGATATGGTTTCCCTGGTGAAGACGTCAGTATTTGTAGGAGCTTGCGACTTATTTTTTTCCTCGGTTACTATGGTTTCTCGGGCGATTTGTTGTACCACAGTGGTATAACGATAATCAGATTACTGTGACAATCCCCTTTACCAAAATGTTTTCTTTAAGGGAACTTCACATAAAAACGCAAATAAAATTTGTTCGCATAAGGCCGCAATAAATCGCTCGGTTTTAAGATGTCTAAGCACTGAAGCTAGGCTTGCCCAGGACAGCGATGTGTGACCATACTCGGGGAGAAGTTCATAGGCTTTAACAGATTATCCATCACGTTATCCTGCTAGAATATTATTTGTCTATGCGAGTCTGATATTGTCTGAACTCTCGACTTCTCATGCGAACAAACTAATTGTACTCGGTTATTTATCGGACTATTTATAGATCTGTATTTACCGTTCCCACCATAGATCCGCTACCCTTCATTGGCCTGTGTGCCGAGCCTAATGGCATACATGAAAATCAGGTTCATGTTGGTGAAAATGTCACGCATTATTCGGATTTTGGAATCAGGCCCAGAAAAATTAAATTCTGGCCCTTCATTCTCATTAGGGTTTGCAGAAATATAATTTATTGATACTGATATATTGTTACTAATATATCTGACGGAACCATTAACGGAAAAGGAAGTAAGGTATAATAAAATCAGATGCGGTTGACCAGATATAAGGACAATAACCTCGTATAATTACACTAAATATAAGTACAGAAAACCAAGGATAAACGTTACATAAATAAATAATTCACATGATATAGTTTGAGATTAATTTATATCATTACAGCTCAAGACTAGGCCCGCCCGCCGGTAGTTGACCTCGGCCTATGATCTATCAATGCGTTTGATTTACGACTTCAGGCTGCTCTCTATCTCCACCCGTTCAACTTGGCTGCTCTTTTCCTGAAGGTAGACTTCTGGCTGTAAGCACGAGTCACGAAGGATGTCTCTAAGGCTCTGCTGATGTTCTGGGACCATCGACAGCAGCAATTCAAGAGATTCTTGCACCTATGAAAAAGGTCATCAGTAAAAGGATAAAAACTTGACGACATATTGTTGGTTTGCAAATGGGCTTAGGTCAAACAGCTCGACTGCTAGAGGGTTATAAAGGCCACAACAATAACTTCATAAAGCGGCAAGTATTCTTTAGGCCTAAATATACTCAATTGGAAAGTTGTTATAAAACAGAAATGGATAAAATTGGTTTGGAAATAGATTTATCGATGTTAATATAAATAAGTTATGAAGTGGAAATACAGAAGAAGCAAATGTATTTGAGTTTCAACCACTGGCTCGAAGAATACACTGCTTCACATGTCCACCTTTGGCGCACTAGAACTTAACATAATTTGTATTGAATCTTCGCTTGCAAGCACAGGCGGTGCACAGAGGTGTCCGCGATGTATTAGAATGAAAACAAAGATGGTACTTTTCAAGAGGGCATGGAAAAAAGGCAAAAAGTTTTTCAAGCCTAGTACAGTTCAAAAATTAATTAAATTAGAGGGCGTATATTAGCTACAGGATTGCTTAATTATGGCTAGGACAGGTTAGGTTCGTGTATATAGTTATACTGGCCAGACCCAGTGAGCTTCAACGGTATAAACCTACTGGCCAGACCCAGTTGAGGTTCAACGGTAGAAGCCTTAGGGGGAAGTAAAGTTGGGTGGCTCTAATGGACTAAATTCTGTGTCATAATACTAAGTTCCTGGTGGATAAAATGTGGCAGTTTTATTTGCTGGAGTTCAGGGCTTAGCGTTTAACTTACCTCCTGCAGCTTGAGAGAAACGTGTTCTATCTGTGTCTTCCAGATGTGTTCTTGATGGTACTGGATCTGCTCTTGACGCCGCAGGATGTCCTCAGCCCACGCCTCCGTCGCCCCTGGGGACCTGAGGTACACATGAAATGCACTTTTGACATAACACACGCATTTATAACTATATAAATAAATGTATATATAAAGCCTCTCATATCAACCACAGTCTTGTTAGTTTGATCGTTAAGGAACGGTTGTTTTTGAAGTAGTAATGTTGGAATTGCATGCTGATTATATTATTGATTAATTTAAAATTTATTAAAAACAAGGCTGAGCACGAGGCTACAGTATTGCCTAGCCTAAACTGTATTAATTTCTGTAGTTTAGGCAAGACTACAAATTGAGAATTGTGACTGGAGGTGGTGGCTGTGTGAGGGTGGAGGTACCTTTGTGAGGGTTGGCCTTGGTTAAGATGCTGGAGGCGGGCCAGGTGCTCCAGGTGAGAGAGTCTGGTATAAAGAACAGCGTTGCCCATCACCAGCACGACCAACGCTACCACCATCGCAAACCCCAACCACGCAGCAAACGGATTTAACGGTGGAGGCGATTCTGCTCCTACGGACACAAAAGGTATTGATAAGCTTTTTGAAGATAAGAAATTACGTGAACATCACATAATTAGCTCTTTTGCTCCAATACGCATGTTGATGGATGAGATTGTGCTTTAAGATTCCTGTAGTTAATTATTTAATTATGAAAATTATGCGACAAATGATCCTGGGCAGTTCATTGACATGGGATGCACACATTACATGCTGAGATTTCAAAGTTCCCACGCTATAGGATTTCAAAGTTCTCACCCTTTTTAGCGTTTTGCTTGTGGGTATGGGGTCGGCGTCTGTCACGGTGTGCTTGGAGTCGTTTACGGGGTATACCTGTCGTGTTGGCCACCTTCTCAGCCTCTACAGTCAGTCTGGCCTGCAGCTCCAGCATCAGCGCATCTATCCCGTTGTACGCGTTTTTCTCCAGCATTCCTGAGAAACAATTTACAAATCTTTGTGGGGTCGGCTGACAGTCTTTTGGTAGTTGCTCGGTGAAGCCCAGGAACACCCCGGACAAATCCTGGTAAACTTTAATATATTCATAAAAAAGTATTATGGTTTGGTCTTGTCTCAGCAAGTACTATTAGGCGAGTATAGCAACACCCACGCCTGACAATACCCATAACTAAACAATGTCGGGCATAGGTAACCTGTCCTCATGGTCACCCAACCAGTTACTGGCCAAGACTAAGCTTAAGTGTTCAAGTTAAAGTAAGCCTATTGAGATAATAGAATACATCTCAAAGCGATAGAGTAGCTTAGGCTATTTATACCATCCCTTAACAGTGACGTCTAGGCTTTGGGATTTATTTTTTTGTTGATTACTTAATTTTGACGTTTACAATCACTGGTTTTACCCACGCATGAGGTAAACATTAAATTTTGCCAGCAGGTTGACATGCTAGATTTAGCTAGAACATGGGCAAAATTTAGAGTAGCATTGCGCTTCTATATTTTAAAGTTTACCAATAGTCTAATGAAGGAATTATTAATTATATAAAATTAATAGATATTCTCCTCACCCTTGACAAAGTTCCAGACGTTCTTCTTGTACTTGACGAGGGACCAGACGGTAAGAATGGTGGAGTCGGCGGAGCTCCGTGAGAGGCAGTAGTGGTTACACACAGTGAAGGCATCGGCATAGGGAATGCCTGTGTTGGTCGCCTCTGTCTCCACCACGTACGTTTCTCCTGCCAGGCTCTCCTGCACAACCTGTAACACAATCAGATCATCAGTGTTTGATCAGCAGCATGACCTGTTGCTACCGTTACTGTAGCATTGTCAGGTGTTAGGACACGGGAGGCATTCTATTGTTCGTATCTTCTCGTATTTACATTCCGGGATATACCTACGTATATTTTGTCAAAATTATTTGTATAGTGTGTACACTTACCATAGTGACCGTGTTGGCTTTGACGAGGGGTTTATTTTAGGGGATCTCTTCAGCACGTCCAACGTTGGGTTCTAGTGTTAATGTTATTTGCTGTCCGTCGAGAGAATACCCCTTCGCTTTGATTCAGTTTTCTACTATTGTTATTTATTGCTCGCGATCTGGATTTCGAAATGAAGTTTTTTGGATTGTGTGACTTGATTTTTTTATACTGACAAGTCTTTGAGGAACAGCTTGCTCAAATGTGTATAGGAGCAGAATCTAAATGGTTTACACTATACATTATAAAATCTTTAACAAAGTATATTTTGGTGAAACATTCGACCGGAACTTTAAACGAGAGGATTTAAAAGCTTAAATGTACCTGTTACCTTGCGTTACACAGGCTTCGGGAGCAACAGTTTGTGGCCTTTAAGGCCCAAAGGCTTTGGCAAATTGCCAAAGAGAACATTAGAAGACACTATGGAATCTGCAACCATCAAACACCCCCCCCCCACCATACGCGTCTAATTATCATAAGCTTTCGAATTATAAGTAGCTTCATTTGAATCCAATACTCTACTGCTTGTTTGACTCCATCCGCCTTTGTAACTTAGCGAAATGTGTGTTCAGAATGCATTTGACAACGTAAATACTTCAGTTCATGACACGAATGACAGCGAAATCTGATTAAATTAAGTCTTATTGACTCGCCTGTTTTTCAGTGACACTGGCGGCCTTGGAGGCCAAGTTAGAGATGGAGAGGAACATGGTGTAGCTCATCTCCCGGACTCTCTTGCCAGCATCCGCCGCCTCCCACGGCGTCACCACGATGTCTAAATAACAAGACAAGTATAAAACAAATTATATATTACTGGATGTATAGATCACAGCTAAGCCTGGACAAAGCAATCGAGAAGATTCAACTTCCGAAGTTTAGATCTGGTCGGAAAATGAGCAAATTAAGCTTAATGCTGCTCAATGTAAATGTTTGAAATGTATGAAGTAAAAGTGACAGTATAAGGCGAAGGTTATCAGCTCAATATGTTAAATCTGTTTGCTGAAAATGCTGGTTGTCCCTCGTCGAGGGCCTTACCAGACACATTCCTGGCGGCGAGGACCTCGGCCATAAACTCGTTGTGGAGGAAGAGCAAGTTGAAGACCGCATCGACGGGGAGTTGAATAAGCGTTCTGAGAACCGCCTTTCCCTGGTGTTGCTCAACCAGTGGGCACGACCTGGCTACACACACAACTCTTCTTTATCTAATGATTCTACATTTTAACTTTAAGAAAAAACCCTAGTAAAAGAACCACTCGGTTATTACTTTTAATAATATATATTTAAGTGGAATATTCACTAGTTTTATAGAATCTACATATACTTTATATGGATATTGAAATAACGATATACACACTAAGCATTTGCACGTGAACCCATTATGCATTACCATTATTCTGATTGGCGTCGTAGGTTTCTGTAGGCTCGTGGATCCTGTCTTGGCCGTTCCAGAACGAAGCCGAGTGACCATTGGTAGAAGTACAAGGAGCTTGTGGCTGGGAGTTGGCTTCCCCGTTGGTCATCACCTTGTAGGACTTGACCGTCTCTACGTCCTCCCTTGTTCCCTAAAATGATAATTTATTGCTCGTTTCGTGGTCAGGTTATGATTCGATTGCAGTTTGATTATAGCTGCTTCTGTAGTAAGAAATATGATATAAACCCATTTAGGTAATTTTAGAAAAGCAATAAATGTTCATTTTTAATAAAACTTTCATAATTACCTTATTGAAATACTGTAGAGTTCAATACTAGTTCTAACTCGACAAAATTATCGATTACAGAATCTCCAACATAGGTATTGACACTATACTAGCTTTAATAGAGGCAGGCTCCATTGCCTCCCACAGCCGGATTGTAAACAAAAAAGATTGTTGCATAATGAAATTTTTTAGGGTGTCTACAATCGCGATCCATCGCATATGTTGACCACTTAAGACGACACTCCTCATCCTACCTCATCCACTCTCATATTCGTTTCCTTCTGTCACGTCTAGGATGATAAAAATCTTATTTGGTAGAAGTCGCCAACCGACGTTGGTCCACTAGTCCTTTCTGAAAGCTTTCCTGGTGGATGTCACATTGATGATCCTTTGTCACTCACTGGGACACGGTTACAGTGAGTGACTTCCCTCGTGACTTCAAACCTGGTTGCTCTTCCTGCAGAAAAAACAGGTTCACGAAATTTAGTGTGGCCATTGATAATATCATGTACAAGTGTGTTAATTGTAACCATGATATATATGTGCTTCAGCCTACAGTTTAGACCTAATGTCTTATGTATGACCCTCTGTCCTGCGTGACAGTGAATACCAGCATTATCCTCACTTTAATAAGACTATCAAAATCCTCAGATTAGGCAAAATTGTAATTAATTTTGTCAAAGATGTTAATATTAATAATAATAATTTTTTAACTGTTTTAAGACATAGGGATTTTTTTGATTAAATTTTTATTAACAAAACTTTCAATTTAAACTAATATCTCATTGTTTATCAACAGTCATACCAAGCCACACATGGGTGAAGTGATCATGGACCAACATTCATCCTGATAGTGTAAACTGTGAAGTTTGGTCCAGTGAACGTGAACAAACACTTGACATTAGGACAGGTAATGTGTTGTTTCCGTGTAGCAAAATGGTGATAATCACGCTCTTTGGGGCTGGATCATAATAGTGAGATTTCAATGCCATATTCAGATTTGAAGGTTACCTTCCCCCCGTCCCATCCCAAATCCTTATTCTGACCCCTTCCCAGTGCTATATAGTCGTAATGGCTTGGCGCTTTCCCCTGATAGTTCCCTTCTTCGTTATTTAAGATACTGTAGGCTGTATTTTTATCTGAAGGTTATGCAGCCTTTTCCTGTGTGTTTGAAGACTGCATAGCTGCTAAATCCTGTTTCTACATATATAAAAACTGAATAGAATCTTGTAAATATTTCGCAATGCGAATTCTGTGTATTGTCTACAGAGTTTCTGAATAATTTTAACCAATTTTAAACAGCATGTTTGTAAAGCTACATGGATTTTAGTACTATGTTGTCTTCAACATGTATATTTTTAATAATCAATGCACAGTATCGTGTAAGGTACCTTTTTGAAGGCCTAGATGCTCGCTAAACACTGCTTAACTCTTCAAACAATACAACCTCTATATGCTCTTTATTAACGATCTCATTTATTTTTTATATTTGGAGTTTGCATTTAAGAAAATATTTTGTTTGGTCAGTTAGCAATAGTTGGAACATTACCTCTTGCTTCAACAGTCGTAGAGAGCCTTTAGGAAATGTAGCTGCCTTTGGACTAGGGTCCGCACTTGCAGTACTGGTTTCCCATTGTTGGTGTCAGAAAAGCGTGTTCGGCTTATCTCGGTAGCTCTACGCCAATGACTGTCCTTCCCCATTATGTAACCAAAGAAAAGTTGCCAAAATCATTGGAACCTATTTAGTGGTATGTGAACAGTCGGGTAAAATGAAACTTGCCCACCTTTTGTTTGGGCTTAAGTGGCTGAGCTATAAATGAAGTCACCGAGTTATAAGTTACTCCACTTATAAACTGAGCTGCAAGTAGACATAACTGTAGCGCACACACAAACCTGACGGTTGTAATGTGTGTAAAATCACTTTTACGTTATGCTGCCATGTATATCTAGCTTGAAGTCTAAACACCGATTATTAATTGTGCATTGGTCTGGTTACATGCATAACAGCACCAACTAGCGTAGTTGTCACAGCAGTGGGTAAAGATACGTTAATCCACGGACGCAAAACTTAGCATATTAGTGAAGGGGAGGCATTGGGGGGGGGGGGGGGAGGGGAGAGTGCGAGCAAGATACGTAAGGAGGCGTCTCCCAGCTGATTGCGTAATTTTGCAGTACATATGGTGAAAAAAATTGGATGTAACCTTACATTACCTGCATAGTGTCAAGTTTGTGAGAACGTACGATAGTTTAGTCAGACGAGGCTTCATTTGGTAATTATAACGTAGACGGAACATTAAATAAAATGATCACAACATGTATTTGAAATTATTCATTGAAGCTTGAATCGCCAGACACCTATACTCCTTTCCCTGAACCATTATTTTAGAAAGGTATTGTAACAAATAATCCTACAGAATAATTTAAATGTCAGACCACGAAGGAAGAATTGAAACTGGAATTTCCTTAAGTACTTTCGTATTTAATAACCCATTTTCAGAAGGGTGAAGATCTTCTTAGATGTAAAGATCTAAGCCTAAACGTAGGCTTAGGATAGGATAGGTCGAAACGACTTTGATCATTGATGCTAAATATAAGTTTTCACTTGATTATATATATATATGAATGTTGTATAGTCGTACTGGCTTAGCAGTTCCTTCAGAACATCTTTACTTACATGGTTGTTTGAAGACAGCCCTGCAGGAGAACATGGACCTGGCGGAGGAAGAGTTATACTCAGACCAGCACAACCTTGGACGTGTCACTGGCGGCATGGAGCCAGTTGCCAACGTCCTCAGCCAGGTCCTTGGAGGGTGCTTAGGTTATATTAGCGATGGAGGACAATTTTCTCTCAGGCCTAGTACATCACTCTCCGTATAACATCCCTCCTTAGTAATGTGACGTAGAATTATTACGTTAATCGAAGAATTAATGTTTTTACAAGATAAATTATTACACGTCGGTAACAGCGTTATCACCAAATGGATGGTGTGCTATTATATTTGTAGAACAGACTGTATACAAGAGTTGTGTTAAACCTAGTGATAGGGGGGGATATATGTATAGCTTTGGTTAAATATTAGTTTTGTTCTCCCACCTCTAAAGCACATTTACTTTCTAAATTATTTATTTAGATGTATATGGCAAAAATCCTCGTACAGTGGTGGCCATATCTGAGAAATGGCATTGACAGTGAGAGATAAGGTGGCTATGCTTCCGCCTTAATGACGTGATACTACCGAAGACAGCTCTGTACTATCGTGGTTACAAGCTGCTGTAGCGAGAAGACTGGGCAGACGTGTACCTGGCTGTATTAACATTTGTCTTCCTTATATGCTGATTAATCCTTAGGCTACTTTATATAAAGGTGGTTATGAGGATAAAGTGCTGTCAGTCGGTATGACTGTATTGCTGCTTTAGATATAATTACAACAATAGTTAAGGGAGGTACTCCTTTGTTACTCTAATGTCGCTGATAAGGGTACTCGTTCGGTTACTATTTTTATTTATTTTACTCACGGAAGTTGGGGATTAAAATTTCCTTACATACATGATTCAAAAAAACTCAAAAGGTTCCTGGTATTTAAAAATTGTCATCCACCATTACGTGGAAATAAACATTACATTCACCTGGGCTCTAGGTGACTTGAGGTATTAAGACTATTCATATCTGAGTGGATAGAACTTCTACCTCTTACGCGTGGGATCCGTGGTTAGTCTCCTAGAGAATTCCTGGGGAATAGGTAAATGGAATTACTGGTATTTGTTGCTAGTAATCTATGCCTGTGAGTAAAAAATGGTTCTCGCTTGTGTACTTCATATAATCACAAACATATCCGTTCATGTTTGTAGTATTGTTTGGTTTTTCGAACCTGTTAATGAGAGAGCAGTTTGTTCAATAGGCGAGTGAGTTTAGGTGTAAGAAAAATAAGTGATTATGTTCTTATCAGTAAGCCAAAGGTCTTTTATTTAAAGTTACACCAGTATAGCAAGACTAAATAATATTAACATACAGTATCATCAGTAGTTTGGGAAGTCAAGCTGATTTTCAAGATAAAACTAATCTGCAAGATAATGCTTTAAACATTGAATACCCGTTGTTCTTCATCACAAGATGGTCTCTGTTCTGTGTTTAGGGCTGAAAGGAAGAGGGCCAATTCATACGAAATTCTAGCTCAAAATGTGAAGTATCACTCACATTTTGTGTATCAAATTGTGAAGTATCATTTTCACGATAGCTGCACTATCAGTAGCACCTGTAGATTGGTGTAGGAAATCATGTGTATGGTATGAGTGTCGTGTATGATTCTCACTAGCTATATCTTTACGTAATATAACTTTAAATAATTGTCTGTTCCGAATGCTTATGATTCTGCCTTCCTGGGTACCAACTGATCTACCAAGTTTGTGTTTATTTGTAATTTTGCGGCAGTCCCCACAACAGATGGTAGTTGTCGACAGTGGCGAAGTAACATCCTGTGCACAGGAGGGAGCCCGTCCTCTCCAGCGTTCACAACTGATGTAGTAAATTGACCGAACCCATCTTAACAGAGGACCCACGAATAGAAAACTAAAAATTGCATAAATTTTGCGAACCGATATGATTTTAAGCATCGTTTTTTTTTGCCTTAAGACTTAAAAATCAAAATGCGATGTACTTTTCGAGAGGATCAATCTCCAGACGCTGATTTTAATAAAGTTTCATTATTAGAAAGTGTAAATTTATTTTTATCTAGATCATTATTTTTTTACTTCGTACATAAATTAAAAGCATGTCAGTAACAAATCAGAATTTTATTACTGGTTTACTGGTAGGAAGTTATATAATCTATTGCACTTAGGAGATAATGGAGGGTCCTGCCACAACCATCAACACTGTTAACACTTTTATGGCCATGACTGATATCAGTGTCAGTATACCACATTACGATAACATATCTGACATATCTATATTGACATATCTTTGTCCGTGTGTCTCTTGGCTTCAGATAGTGGTAGCAGCAGTAAGGTCGTTCGCAGGAGGCCCCAAAGCTCCAATATTAGTGTAAGAGCGCTCCAACTGGAAGGTGCTTCCCAGTATAGGACAACAGATGTATATTAGTAGGACAATGAAAGTTTTTTAAGTTCCTAATGATTGGGAATGGTCGTCCAGGACAATTGTTATAAACTGCCGATTGAGCATATTGGAGTGAAATTGCATTGCCGTTCATTAGCAGCTTGGTACAATTTGTGAGGATGTATATGGAAAGAAAGGAGTAAAACTTTCTAGGGCGGTGGTGGCACCCTTAGTGTTTTCCGTACTAGGCTGTTGCCAGTTTCTCACTTTTATCCTAATAATATATAGAAAAAGTGTGTCTGGGGAAAGGGTACGTTGCAAATTAGCTAAAATGTATTCAACTAGCATTAGAAAATGCTTAGAAATTGACAAGGAAGTTATTATTGTAGATGAGAATGAGATTACAAAAAAACGGCAGCCTCTTTATGTCCAGCCTCTTGTAGTCAATATATTCTGAAAATTTGTCCAGTGGCTTTGCATCACTCATGCTACTTAACGGTTCATAACTGTAGTAATATTGCTACCTATGGTGCAGGCAGTAATATGGACTGCCTGTGGTGCAGGCAGTAATATGGACTGCCTGTGGTGCAGAGGGGGTGTTTCTGGACGTTTTCTGTGCTTTAGTGATTAGTATTAAAAAAATATAATAAGGCATGATGGGTTGCGAAGCTTTAAGGCATGTTTCGTAAAACAAGTCCGTGGGATTTTTCCCATGTCCAAGCAACTTTATTTCGAGAAATATTCTCGAAGTTTAATTTAAAATGGTGTTTTGACACGAAATTATGTAATATATCATGTTCCTTATCTATTGTTCAAGTATGGATAAGATGAGAGAGATAATCACAAGTTCTCGGCCTGAACTTAGACAGTCTCTTCTCGTCATTCCCTCACGCAACGTGCTGCCGCCACCTCGTACATGACAGTTGACAAGGTAAGGAAACTTTGACAGTTCTCTTGGGTTATCTACATTTCGATAATTCTGGTTTACGCGAGTGTTTTAACGAGAAAAATGGAGTGCAGCTTGTTTTAAGCCCCTTTGGCCAAAGGATACGAGATGGTTCCATTCCTGTGGTTAGACTGTGTTGCCATATTAGGAATAGTGTGATGAGAGAACAGGCTTGCTAGCTAATATCTACATAGCCTGATGATTCTTTGCGTGGAATGTTTCTGGTACTCTCTGAACCTTCGGAATAAGTGTTTGTAATAAAATTTCTAAATGAATAGGCCATACTAAAGACATTTTTAATGTTCATTAACTATTTAGCTTGTGGGTGGAGTCGCAAATCACCTCAGCAAACTCACTCGCGAACATTTCTTGCAAAGTGTGCTTGCCATCTCAAGATTTCAAATGTTCTTGGCATTACAATTTATTGGGTTCCCTTAGATATTTATAAGCCAGCATTGGTGAGGAGTTTTCACAATGGCACCACTTATTTTTTTGAGACTTCCATCATCCTGTATAAGACTTAATGCTACGTGGTTAATGCTCTTAGTGAACTCTTGTTCCAACCCCTCGCAAAAACCTTCACGGCCATGAATACCGACATGTAAGGCTCTCGTCATTGACAGGAGAAATATCTTAAGAGGATGTGTTACATAGGTAATCTGCATATGCAAGATTACACTGCTCATGACCTCTGGTGTTTTCCATTGCCATCCTAATAGGACTGATTGTTACAACTGTGAATGGAAGGGTTTGGTCCTTTTAAAGGTATGAGTGAGTGGACTTTTCTGAATCAAAGAGGAAGGTATCTCATGTATTGTACGTTATTTATTATGTTGGCAGATTCATATCAAAGTATCTCCTTTGATAGCTGCTATAGAAACTGTGTTATTAAGCACTTTACTAAAGGTAGTACTACAAGCTCAGGTTATAGTTACATCACATACATTTTACTGTATAACTAATGCATTATAGTTAATCTTGGGTACAAGTCCAATATATCAAGTGTTCCAGTATTCAGTGATTGTCCCGTCATCACAGGAGGTGGGGAAGGATGACGGGCTCATTCATTATTTGGATAAATCCATAACCAAAGTATTTTGTACTACAGTCGCTCTTCAGTCCGACTAGGAGAGAGGAAAGAACTGCCTCTTTCGTTAGTGCTAGAGACCGCCCAGGCGAGAGCCCTCCGCCGCCGCCGATGCCTGTGGCGTCACTGCCAGTCTACACCTCCAGGGAGAGACTTGACAGGGCCGACAACTCCTCCGAGAGCGATGATGCCGTCAAAACAAAGAATGGTAAGTTGTAACATTTTATAGATTAGTAGATGGGGTACCCGGTTGTGCCGGATATCTCCTCCCCTCCCTTCTCTTCTCCCAATCTTACCTCTCCACCTTTATTTTACCCTCTCAGCATATTGAATACTGCAAGAGCTCGATAATCTGAATTCCGGTAACCCGAATAATCTGGTAATCCGATAAATTAGTCCACAATTTTCGAGTAAAGAATGGGAATAAGCAGGTAAACAATGAAAATGTTCAGGTAAACAGCGGGAGTCAACATGCATTGTAAAAAACAAATGTCTGGATTTAGACGCCATGAAAATCACAGGGGTCACTAAGCTACCAATATTTATTAAACGGTTGCACTGGGGTCATTCGCATACTCCCGCCAAGCATCTGGCTGCCTACTTTAGACACGTTCTATTTTAAAGATATACTGGAGGATTTTCCCCTATTGTCAGGGGACAGGCATTTAAACTTATCGAGGCCCTTCCTCTAACCAACATGGGGCCCATTTCCCAGGATGCTACTGTGAATCATTGACACTTTTACAGCTAGATAAACAGCAGCAGTGGGTGCAAGGAAACGTCCACGAGCTTCTCGGTCTGCCGGGGATTAGAACACAGTGCCAGTTAGTCTAGACTGTGCTAACCACTAATCGAAAGAGTTTATCATAGATTAATATATGGCAAGTCCACTTGTGGTTACTGATGTGCTGCATGCAAGATGCAAAAAAAAAAAAAAAAAATGGAGGGAAAACTGTATCCTAATTCCTAAACAGCCTCTTATATTCTACATTCATTTCAAGGGTCCCTATTTTGTATGCTGTAACGCTTGCTGACGCCCCCATTTTTTGCTTTTCCAAGTTATTTTCAAATGTATTATATATATAATATATATGTATGTATAATTTCTATGGGTCCCTACACTCGTACCAGAGGTGGTACCCTTTCTAGGTTTAAAATATATATTTATATAATATAAATAATATTTTGATGGTGGAGGTGTGGCGACTGAGAGGTCGCCGTGCCCCCTGGAGGAGCACCACGAGGGTAAGGAGCTCCTCAACACCCTCATAATGCTCCCCGTCGACAAGGTCTTCAACCTCATTTTCATCCAGGAGCAGTTTATGGTCGACGTCTACAATACGAAGAAAACTTACGGTAAGCTAATTTTTACATTTGTTGTAGCAATTTAGATGTAACTTTTTACCATGTAGTGGGACAGGGATCAGGTGTTCATCTGGGAGTACCCTGATCACTGAAAAGTCTCCTCATTGCTCCAGTTGATTTTCTCGTTATATATTATCTCGGTAATCACAATATTAAAGAGCAATGCAAATTTATCGTAGAATTAGTCATGATCGTTGATCCAACGCCACTCCTGGATAGTGTCCCTATTGGGATGAGGGGAGATGATAAGCGGGTATTGATGATCCTCGTACTGTCACAGATGTGGTGTCTAGTCCCTGGCAGCTGGAGGAGAGTGGTCAGAGGGCGCGGCAAGTGACCTACGCCATGTCACTCTCGGTTTCCAACTTCGTGACCTCCAAAGTTTCTTACGTCATAGAGAAGCAGGTAACACAGCGTACATTAACATGTGTAATAATCTCCGTTGAAGTCTGAAACACATTTTGTGCACTTTGTAATACTTTTTTGCGCTACCGCTACTACAATCAAAATCGTAATTTGTTCGGCAGATTTGTTCCGGGGGCAGATCATTTCTACATTAAATGTTTATTTAACGTTACTCGAGCATATTTTACATTAAGGTAAACGTGTTGTGGTGCAGGTGATACAGACGCAGACGCAGCCAGGGCAGATATATATCGTGGAGGTCGAGGCTGTCAACAGCGGGATTCCCTATGCCGATGCCTTTTACATCTTCTCCCACTACTGCCTGGCGAGGGAGGACGACGGCAGGACGCGGATCATCGTGTGGGCCACCGTTAAGTACAAGAAGACCGTCTGGGGCATGATGAGGGGTCAGTGTCTCTCTCATGAGTATAATTATTGTTGTTTTTAGATTCAACTACTCTGACCCAAAAGTTCCAAGTAGCACGGGCTATGGTGAGCCCGTGGTGGACTTACCTCGCATAGGAGCGGGGCTGTAACTGTTCATTTATATTTAGCCCATGAGCATAAACATGATCATGTTTTTATAGTGCCTTGCACGTCGCAGGTATTACTCTACAGTCGGGAGTTAATTATTTGCACAGTCGAGGAGTGTGTCGGTATGTAACTCCCTTCTTTCCAGTGTAGGTATGATAGAGAAGAACACGTACAGTGGCATGGAGGCTGTGCTGGCGGAGGTGATGGTGCAGCTGGTCACAGAGGAGGATAAGATAGCTTCCCCGGTAGCTGGAGTTCGACGCCGCCGGCGCCCCTGCATCTCCACCAGCAAGAATAGTGTCAAACACTCGTCCAAATCAGGTCAGGCATTATCAAATTTGTTTCCGGCCTATAGTAACACAAAGTGGCTCGGGTAAAGAAATTACAAATATTTAAATTATTCCAAAGGGGTAAAGACATCTGCGACTTCGTCGAAGACCTGCAGTATTGCTATTATGGTGGTGTTGACGGCGCTGGTCGCTCTGGTGTTGGGGAACTTCGTCCTCTACAACAGGCTGAGTCAGCTAGAGAATCACTATTCGCACGACAAGCTTCTTGCTTCATCTCCCGCTAAGTAATGCACATTATGCTTTTGTTCTTATTGTGCTTTTGTGTGCGCAGCCCGGGCGCACGCGCCCACACGCACAGCCCAGGCATACAGCCCCCCGAGGAGCGGGGGAAGAGGAAGGGGGGGGGGGGGAAGTAGTGTGCTGAGCCCTGGCTGCACACACCCAGGGACACCTGCCTTAGTATAGGGGACAATTCGTTATTATACAAGTAGCTAATTACTCGTCCATTAACTTTTAACTGGTCTGATTGAAATGTTAAGAAAGTGCCAACAATTCACAGTATGTTTTTAGAACAATTTTGTAGATTTTTAGGTTTTAGACTGGAAACAAAAAAGTCCAAAGTAGCACGGGCTATGGTGAGCCCGTAGTAGACTTGCCTGGCGCAGGAGCGGGCTGTAACTAGCAAAAAAAAAAAAGTTCGAAGTTTTTGAAGCACAATTCATACAGAAGAGGGCCGCAGAAGCAAATAAGTGAGCAGGACAGGGGCTGTCAGGAAGTGATAGTAGCATCCTCCAGATGCGATAGATGCGTCTGGCAATGGTTCGCAAAGTATGATGGGAATAGATGCAACCAGAGGGCTGTAAGGAGTGTTCGTGCCGAACGTGTCTGTGAATGACAGTAGCGTGGCAGAGCTTGCGTATCCATAATGCTATGAGATAGTTTTTTAAATACCTATAAGTTTATAACTATAATTCACTTCTACGAACTGATACCTCTCCATTTCATTTAAATATAAAAGAGGAAACATGATAGACTAGAAACAAAATGTAACATAAGAGTTGATGTATTCATTTTGTTTGAACTGGATTTAAAGTAAACACCTTTTAATAAAGATGAATTTCTTGACGTGGCGCCAGGCACTTGAATGCTCCAGGGTCGTGGGAAGCCGTAGCGAGGATCCTGCAGCGTCAGGAGCTCTTGCATCAGCACCAGCTGGACCAATGGAGAAGCAGCCTAAAAGAGGCCTCGCGAACCCTTCTTCAGGTGAGTGATAGTCAAGGAACTGCATTCTTGGTTCCACATTATTGTGACCCTATGCGTTGGGAAGGTAATATGACCCGTTGAGGATGAGTAGCAGTGAGGAGGGAGAGAGAAGTGTAAAAGGATGACTGGGGGGAAGGAAGGTAGGAAAAGACTAGGATATATTCCTAACTCTTGTAAGTAACGTCCACCGAGCCCGTAATTCTATGTTGTAGACCCTAGAAAAAGGAAAACGTACTTGAAACCACTTTTCTACGCGAGATGTTTTAACGCATAATTCATTGGAGTGTAACATGATCACAATATATTTACCTCTAGGTGCAAGAGTCGCTGGAGAATGTCCTGGCGACGCTGCCAGACTACCAGGAGAGCCTTGGACAGACCCTACAGCGGAACACTCAGGCACCGACCAGCTGGCTGAAGAACCTGGTCCAGGGCAGTATGCAGACCTTGATGCGCAAACATGACGAAGATAGCTTGCAACAGCCTTCCCCAGAGCTGGTGCAGGACAGCACCCGACAGGCGCAGCGTGACAATTCGCTTGATAGTCAACAATAAATTCTGGTTGATGTGAATCTTTGGAACAGGTCAGTGGAATTATTGTGACATTGTTTATTTGATGGGAGTGTTTGGTGGGGGAACTATTGCCTCACCAGAGTGTAGTGGGTAAACAAAATATATATATGATCTGGTCTGTGCCTTCAAATTCTTTGGGTTTGAACAGACTCTGATAATGTTACGTTTAGCGTATGTCAAGAAACTGCATGGATAAGGTAAGCTTTTGGAGCGATCAAAGACGCTGGTAAAGATTCCACCACCCTGCTTCAAAGATTTTTTCCCAGATATCACATTATTGTGATTCCAATGCGTGTTTCTGGTTTATCAGCATGTCATACGACATTAATTTCTTGGAAAAACTGTAATTTTTATGCTTAATTCAAGAGCCCAAATTGTATGGGGGGGGGGGGGGGCTGGGCTGTGTTCATGACTCCAGTTTTGAGTAGAGACTTGAAAGAATGTTTGCTCCCCCCCCCCCCCTCCTGCCTTAGAAAAAACTACCATCTGGCTTTGAACTCTTCTTTCTCTAGCGTCTCCCCCGTAATAAAAAATGTATTTGTAAATTTGTGTTTAACTGGAAATAGCCTTGGTAGTGTCCTGTTGTGCGTGGTGACGTGGTCAACATGCCCTCTACACCAGTCCTATACACCAGTCCCTGTACAGTGCTAACTAGCATACATTTTTTTGTCGGACATACAGGGTTAGTTTGGGGCTTAATGCTTATCAACCTCTGGAAGGTTATTAAGGCCGCCACACTAGTTTATTGACCATCCTGCAAGTATACTTTAATCATGAACGTAGTCCAGGGCTGAAACTGTATGTACACAGAGAAGTAGATTACACCACAACCTCCACAAGCCTACTTGTGCTTGCGGAGGTTGAGCTTCGGCTCTTTCACTTTGTAGACAGGGTTAGGGGGGTACCGCAGTATATAGGGAGTAACTGAGCACTCAAAGATGATTGAAGTGCGGGGATTGCAGGAGGGAAGTTTGGCTAACTACGATTTACATGTTAGACATCAGTGTCACTATGCACAGGTAATAGGAACGTGGGTGTAGTATGTCGGTCAGGTGTCGCTTTGCGTTTCAGTAAAAGGGGCGGCTCAGGTGTGAGTACGCGTTTACCTGCCCGCCCGCCTGCCTGCGGCTGACACAACAAAATTATATTTGGGTAATATCATAGAATATATTTCAGTGCCGACCAGTAATCACCATTACATTAAGGTTATTGGTCTGAATAAAACTATGCAACCAATTTATATTATAAATTGTCTTAATCTTATCTGCATTGGTCTCGGAAGAGTTGGTGCGCCTTGTGCGAGCTGTCAAGATTTCATATCTTGACATAAGGCACGGCTCTTACCTTTGTACTGTGGGTAGTCATTTGATCAGCTTCAACACTGACCTTCTGTTGGTCTGTTTTTGTATTCCTGTTCACTTTTTCCATGTTTTGAGGCACTTTCCAGCTTTCAAAAAATTAACATTTTTGCAATATAAGGTATTAAGAAATATTCGACAAAGATTTTGGTTTGATATATAGACAACTGAAAATGTTCAAAACAGATACAACAGTGTCCAATATAATAAATGTTGACTATACTTAAAACATCCCACATACTGGCCATTAAAAAATATCCCTATTCATACCTGATCCCTCTCCCCAGGGTTCCTGAAAAATTATAGTTGGGTCGCTCGACTCGTTAGACCTTGTGCTTGGTTTACTATTCCGATTTCTTCGCAAATCCAGTGCAACTTATGGCGTATAAAAGTGTCTTCGTTAATCCCTCTCTGTTAACGATAATTGTAATAATTCCGCAGTTTAATGAGCAGAAGAGACTATAGATATGTACTGCAATGGTTCTTGCAATAACGGTGGACGTTTTGAGACACGTGCTGGGAAGCCTAGTCCTCCGGGTCTAGCGTGCACGGCCACCGGAACTCTTGACCAAACTCGTGGATCCACAAGTTAGCAACTGAAAATATACAGGGTTAAGTTTATACTGGGAAACATTATAGCGTAAAATTTGGAAACATGAGGGAAATGGTTTGATTTCGAAAAAGATAAGAAAAAAGATACTATTACAGCTCCCCCCCTTTACAGTAAATTGTCATGGTAACATTGTAATCCAGCGTATTAGAAGGTATAATAGAACTTATCAAGGGCCGTTGAAGAGTTCTCAATGGCCCCACTTGTTTAGTTACACCTATAAAATTTCAAGATTTTCTTTTTTTTAAGTTTATAGCATAATCTGTTGGATGGTTTGTCATCCAGAGAAATATTCATGACGTACAAAGTGCCATTACTGATCTTGCATTAATGGAAATATGTTACTTACTCCATTTTTCCCCCAGGAGGACGGGACAGGCGGCGTGTACGGTGCTGTAGTCTCCTAAGCCGCTTCGCTTGATGTTGAACCAGAAGAGCGCCGAGCCTGCCGTTGGAGGCACCTCCAGCCCCAACATGGGGAACACTGTCGACCCTCCGGCCTCCACCTCGTTCAGCTGCAAGTCGAATATCTCTCAATTCCTCGTTATTTAGCCATAATGCTCCAACTCAGTCTCTTGATAAATATCCAATAAATTCCCGGCAAAGGCACTTGCGCGAGTTTTGACTGCTTGGTAATTATTTTCCCTACTTGTAACTTCGTTAAGATGTAATGAAACTTGGGTATTTGTAGCATGAAGTTAAATATAAATTCTGACACTCTGAAGGTATCTTTAACCAAATTGTAGCTTGATATAAAAATGTAGAGGCATTAGTGAGGTATGAGTGCCCATGCACTCGTATTTATTAACCTATTAAGCCTGAAACGCCGTGTTTTCCCCTGGAGACGGTATATGAAGATAGGTTCCATCACTTAATACTGTAAACTAATTTTATGACTTTTTGACCAATCGGCAAAAATACTTTAGTCTACGACTAAAGTAAACTGTGTATGTCCACTTGTATATAAAATATATTTTAAATATGCATGCATGATTGCTTACATTTCGGAAAATGTTCTATTGAACAGAGTTCTTGATACTGTATTTGATGGCCAACAAGAACATTCGTTTTTTTGTTTCCTTACCCATCCAAATTCACTGTCAAATGGTTTTCTGATCATTAGCCTGTTGGTGTATTTCCCTTTTGAAGTTTTCAGTATAGATAATATTGAGATCCATTAATATGGATCTATCTAATGATTAGATCCATATTAGATCTACATATTGAGATCCATTAATATGGATCTACATATCTAATATACTGTATATATGTATTGTTGAAACTGCTTACAGGAAGGCTCTAAACTTAACATTGTCAAGACCCTTCTTGTATAATTTTTATCTACTGAATACTTACTGATGGAGTGTAAGTACATCTCTCCGATATATGTAAGTTTAAGATACGCGTTTGATCCAGTACCAAGTCTTGTACTTGTTTATTTAAAGCACTGTATTCGTAGTTTCCTACACTGAGCTTCAAATTTGCTCTATATCTAGTGTTACCCAATCTTTATGTACTTAATCCAAACAACTTTATCATTGTGTTCATTGCTGTCTTCTTTTATGTGCTAGCCATATGCTGTATTGTGCCTGCTAAGTTTGTTAAACTACCATTCAAGCTGTCATTGCAATCATTCTGAGCTACCTATGTGCTTTAATATACCTACAATTTTTCTCATCTTTTATTTTTTTCATGCTATGTAACTTATCATTTTTAAAAATTTTGCAAGAATTTACCTACTTATAAGTTTCTTAGATTAAGGACCTGCCCGAAACGCTGCGCGTACTAGTGGCTTTACAAGAATGTAATTACTATGCTATGTATCCTCACAATCCCAATGTACCTTCTTGTATATATATAAATAAAATGTACTCACATAGAAGAGCATTGTGGCCAAACGATCTCCCTGATGTGGAGTTTTGTCCATAGATTTCTGAAAAGGAAAACTGGTATGTAAATATATATATATTTAAAAGTATCCACCTCCCCCTTGTCTGTATCTGCATACACATTATAATAGACAATTTAAAGCTATGACTTATTCGCAGTGCTTTAACTGTACATATCATGTGTTAATATAAAAGCGCTAAATAAGTGTTGCTCAATTTTTCATAAAATTCCAGGGAAACTATAGTCTTTAGACGGTTTTATTGGGTTTACTTTGCCCCGACTTGGAGGGAGCTAAAGTGCAGTAATATCTAAGCATCTTGATAATTAGTGTGTAAGATTCAACGACGTCAAATGGACGAGATCTTTACGTCCACTGTCTCCCTGGCTTGGTGCCTTTTGATAATTACCTTGACAATATACAGCTATGTCTTATTCGAAGTGCTTTAACTATACATGAAGTCATGTGTTACAGTACTATAAAAGCGCTAAATAATTGTTGCTCAATGTCATAAAATTCCAGGGAAACTAATATGAAACAGTCTAAGACTATATTTAACGGTTTACTTTGCCCAGACTTGGAGGGAGTTGCAGTGCAGTAATGTCTAGGCATCTTGATAAACAAGTTGGACAAAATATAAATTGTTTGAAAATATCTAGGATATGGTTCCTATAATACATATGAATGCCAACAATTATGGTGACTGCATTGAAGCTATGAAAAAACAAATTTTGGCATTCATCATATGTATTATAGGAGCCATAACTTTAGATATTTAGAAACAATTTATATTTTGTCCAACTTGTTTATCAAGATGCATAGACATTACTGCACTGCAACTCCCTCCAAGTCTGGGCAAAGTAAACCGTTAAATATAGTCTTAGACTGTTTCATATTAGTTTCCCTGGAATTTTATGACATTGAGCAACAATTATTTAGCGCTTTTATAGTACTGTAACACATGACTTCATGTATAGTTAAAGCACTTCGAATAAGACATAGCTGTATATTGTCAAGGTAATTATCAAAAATCACCAAGCCAGGGAGACAGTGGACGTAAAGATCTCGTCCATTTAACGTCGTTGAATCTACGTGGCTTCCGAGATGTCTGATCGACGTCGTACCAACGTCGTATCAACGGTGTTTTGACGTCGTTCTGACGTCATATCAACGTCGGTTTTTCGTTGAAATGCTTATCGTGCATGCCAAAATGTTTTTTTCGACGTCGTACCAACGTTGTTTTGACGTTTTTTCGACGTCGTACCAACGTTGTTTTGACGTCATATCAACGTTGTTTTGACGTCGAACCAACGTCGGTTTTTCGTTGAATTGCACGAAATGCTTATCGTGCATACCAAAAAAAATTTCAACGTCGTACCAACGTTGTTTTGACGTTTTTTCGACGTCGTACCAACGTTGTTTTGACGTCATATCAACGTTGTTTTGACGTCGAACCAACGTCGGTTTTTCGTTGAATTGCACGAAATGCTTATCGTGCATACCCAAAAAAAATTTCAACGTCGTACCAACGTTGTTTTGACGTTTTTTCGACGTCGTACCAACGTTGTTTTGACGTCATATCAACGTTGTTTTGACGTCGAACCAACGTCGGTTTCTCGTTGAATTGCACGAAATGCTTATCGTGCATACCAAAAAAAAATTCGACGTCGTACCAACGTTGTTTTGACGTCGTACCAACGTTGTTCTGACGTCATATCACCGTTGTTTTGACGTCATATCACCGTTGTTTTGACGTCGAACCAACGTCGGTTTTTCGTTGAACTGCACGAAATGCTTATCGTGCAATGCCAAAAAAAATTTCGACGTCGTACCAACGTCGGTTTTTCGTTGAATTGCACAATGCTTGTGCATTCCAAAAAGTTTTTTTCACGTCATACCAACGTCATTTTGAAATCATATCAGCGTTGTTTTGACGTCGAATTGCACGAAATGTTTATCGTGCAACAGATGTTGGTTCAAGGTGCGTTCGACAGCGAAGCAACTTCGTTTTGACATCAGTTTAGCGTTAAAGTTCAGTTTATCTACGTCGGTTTATCTTTGAACAGCTGTGGCTTCCGAGGTGATGTCGATTCGACCTTCATTTGACGTCCATTAAATGCCAAATCTACAATGATTCGACGTAGATACACCAACGACGACGGTGTATCAACCAACGACGACGTTGGTGTATCGTCGAATGAACTTTCGAAGGAACGTCGAACCTACGTCCATTCAATGTCGAATCAACATCAAATGGACGTTGATTCTACGTCAAATCTATGGCAGTTTATCGTTGAATCTACGTAATTCCCCCTTCAACTGTGGGCAACACCCAAGAGCAATGCTGAATATAACTATGCAACGATAAATTAACGTAGATTCAACGATATTGTGCGCACTGAGGCAGTTAGCAAGACGTAATGGTTGTAAATACGCACATTCTGCAAGTCGAAGAAGTCGACGTGGGCGTCGTAGTGACCACCGATGCCGTAGTTGAGGACGTGGAGGTATTCTGCCGTCTCCGTGGTCAATCCCGTCATATCTTCTATCCTCCGCAGGACCCTATCCACCGTGGCGTCCTCCCCTTGCATCACCCATGCCCTGTGGGAGACGGTACTGTTGAGCTTGCTCCTGACCAAACAATTACCTCTCCCCCTCCCCACTCAGAAGGTAGACCACTGATTGATGAAGATTAAGCCACCCAAAAGGTGACACGGGCATGAATAGCCCGTAAGTGGTGGCCCTTTTGAGCCATTACCAGTATCAAGAGCTGATACTGGAGATCAGTGGAGGTGGGAATGCACCCTGCATGACGGGAGATGTCTCCCTTGTGAATGTGTTAAGATGAACATGAAGCCACCCAAAAGGTGGCACGGGCATGAGTAGCTCGTAAGTGGTGGCCCTTTTGAGCCATCACCAGTATCAATAGATGATACTGGAGATCTATGGTGGTGCGACAACACCCTGCGTGACGGGAGATGTCTCCCGGACCAAATGGTGACCAAATGGTCAGGTAGACCACATGTGGCTTCATATTATATACAGTAACTACCTACTAAATATCCCCTGTAACATTTTCGTTTTTATTTTATGAATAAATCTCAACTATAGGAAAAATTGTGGAACTTTAACTAATCTTTATGAAGTAGAGTCCAAATAACTCATTTGGCAGGAAGCACAAACTCGCAATGGTGGGAAGACTGTACAGTATTAACTTAAGGCAGTAATACAAGCTCACCGTAGTTTGACAATTACAAACATTCCCAAGTTAGTCTAAGCCAAGTACCAGCCTGAAAGAGGCATTGCCGGGTTACCACCTTGACAAGGTTGGAAGTCCCCGTATTTGTATTTTATTTTAAATCAAATTACAAAAATATGTCCTCCAGCCATGTCAGTTATGATAAGTTATGACATTCAGCTCTTTTCCTAAACCAATATACTGACTTCTGCCATCCCGTGCCCATCCCCAGGGATGGGCACGGGGATCCATAGACTAACCTTCCGGATAACTTACGTTTTGCCCACTCTGGCCAAGGACCTGCGGGTATTGTGACTGGTGAAGGCGTGGACCATGGTAGTGGCGAGGCGGGGCGTGGCGATCTCCCTCATCGTGGTCATCTCTCCCTCCGAGAGTACGTCGTGGTACACGACGATAATCGGATCCGCCCACAGTAGCTCAGCTTTGAAGGGCATCAGTCGTCGGTAGCCGTTCTTGCCTCGTACGTAGCCGCACTTTAGACCAATGTATGCCTCGGGCGGCTGACGGTGAGAAGGGGATAAGATACATAACTACGTAATAGTTGTGAAGATAGATTTAAAACAAAGAATTTAAGAGTTACAAAAAAAAAAAAAAAAAAAAATTAAACCAAAAGATCTGTTTGCTCTGTGCTAAAGTTGAAAAATTACTTCTCTCCAAAGAACTAAAAAATACAAGTTAAGAATATTGGATAACCTGTTGAAAGCCTCCACGACACAATACACGGTAGAAATGGTCGAGCTTGTCCACTTGGTCGAATTCTTTGTCGTTCTCGTAAATTTTCTTCTGGAAGGAGGTTGGAACACCGAGGCCAGAGAACTGTTCCAGTATACTTTCGTCAGAGCCCTTTGCCAGATTTGTCACCAGATTACGCTGACAAGGAAAAACGATTACATTAATTACAGTTTAGGGACTAAATAGTCGAGCATTACTCTTTAAATATTTTATATAAATATCTGAAATTGTGCACCAACTATGGACGTTGATGTAACATTGAATGTACGCTAATAACGTCAATTCAACATTCCAGCATTACCGTAGCATTTTGCTCATTGGGATGTAGGATTTTCAACTGAACCAGAGATTAAAATCTTTAATCTGTTTCAGTAATGTATTAAAATATTTAGTACTGTAGTTCACGCAACAGTAGACTAGAGCACGTGATACTGTCGAAGTGCAGACGATAGTGATTATTTTTGTTGTCAGTGTTATTGTAATGCTAAGCGTTGTGCCCAGTTTAAACATACATACTCACACGCTTAGGTCACACCGAAACCAAGTGTTTTCAGATGGACAATTTTTACGTGTTGAATTTTCGGCCACGAAATCCTTATAGAGTTAGTAGGTCGGGCACAAAGAGCTAGATCTTTCTCTTTTATAGTCACCGATAGGTGCTGGGATTTAAGTTTCCGCAAAAACCTCACTTCTTTAATGATAGTAATAGCTTACAACACCAGAAGTTTTCATACGAATTCGTCAGAACCCTTTCTGTTAACCAGGTCCGACACTCAGATGGGCCCTGGGTCTTAAAATGCTCGGGGGTAAATTAATAAATCACTAAGAAAATATATACTATATTTCATCTAAAAATATAGGTATTTAGAGATACACTACACATTTAGTATATATGCAATGCCGAACTGCCATCACAAATCAGTCCGCCTAGCATGACGCACCAACACTTAAATCACACTATAATCCTGCTCCACACAGAACATGTTGAGATTTTTTATGGCGACGTCTTATCCAAGGGGTCGAAAAATTCTCTACGACTCTTCCAACTGTTGTACAAATACACCGCTGACCGAGAAGGAGCTGTTATTGGAGTCCAGTTGTGTGCACTGCGAGCCGAACACTGACGCTACCCAACTTTACCGGTGTACACGTCGTCTCGGCCAGCGACTCTGATTGGTTAACCTTCCGCCAATAGTGGTGCAGCCCGTGGCCTAAACCACACCAACTATTGTTGGCCTCGTTTCCGTCTTCAACGGTTTAACACATGATATTTTTAAATAAAAATTTTTAGTCTTAATTTGTTGCGACGAATTAACACGTGACCTGATAGCTTTCCATAACATAGGTAAGTGCTGATACCATTACCATTAACTAAACCATTAACTAAAGTGGCTATTTAGTACAGTATTTTCTATACTTTATAAAGCTTGCAATTATGTAGCGTTTCGGGCATAATAATACTTCCCAAACACATCGAAAATAGTATTAAATGCCTTTTTATCCCGATTAATGAAATTCTGTCCAGCTTGACATAATGGTAGAACGCCTGCAGGAAGAGGGGGAACGTTTCCTTCCACCTGATGCCTCTGCTCACCTAGCAGTAAATAGGAGCCAAGGAGTTCGTCACCTGTTGAGAGTTACATCCTGGACATAGCTCCTGGCCCATAAGGCTTGTCCCCACCTATGGTAAACCAAAGTGTACAGTTTACTCCCACAGGCCCCAACAAGTATGGTAATACCCCTGGTTGCTTAAAATAGATTATACAAGTAATTTAAGTCCGAGACGTGTCTCTTTAGGCCGTCAATAAACTGCCTCGTTAGGCTTTGATCTTATACTGTACAAATGTACAATGAAATCACATTACAAATGCACAATGAAATCACATTAACGTAATGTATCAATGAGAAATTCAGTAGGAGCCACGAGAAGGATTCGAACCCGCTCACTTTGTACTCCCACGCTATAGCGCCCTAGACCACTACACCACGACATGGAAGAGCAATGCAAGAGCAATGATGAATCTCAGGTTTCGAAGGTTGACTCTGCACACTGCAGTCTCCAGAGAATGTCTTGCCACCATATATACTCATACCTGTATTTGTTGATATCCACGCCTCTAGCTTGGGTCGCAAATAGCTACTATACGTACACAGGTGGCCACAATCACCCTCCTTCACATACCTGTAGCTGTCTCCACAGCTTACGTCGATCAGAAAGAGTGGAGAAGCAGGCTATAGGGACTGACCATCATGGCGCGGTGATCCTTCTGCTTGATCAGCTGGTCTATCCTCAGCTGCATGTCCCGGGCGAGGGGCCTCTCCGCCCTCAGTATGTCGAGGCCCTTCTGGTACCACTGATCACTCAGCTCGAACTCCAGGTTGTTGAAGCTCTGCTGGGAGATTCTCAGGCAGTCGTCAGCTGAAACATGTTGTAAACGGAGAGAGAATCTGGTTATCCAGTTAGTGCTATCTAAGATTGATATTTTTAGTTATATTTGTTGTAATGGGTTGAATATTAATACGAAAATACTCGTCATGTACATTAGCAGTTGAGCTTTAGTTTCAGTTCCATCTTGTGAGTGTGAGTTGACAAAGTTACAGACACACATATAGCTGTTGGGTTCAGGAACACCAAAACTCATTCAGCTAAGCTAGATACCCAGACTTGATTAACTAGAAACAATATAACGCACATACAATCAGATTTATTCGATATCGTTGCACTTTGAGATTCGTGATAGACCCGTATTTTACATTAAATATTTAATAATGTAAACAAATATTAAGAGTATTCCCGGTTCCCTCCAACAAGTGGTAAACCAAATTTGACTAAACCTTAAATATACATTTGCATGGTCTTGCTTTCCATTCAAGTCAGGTTGATTTTAATTACTGTTATCATTGTATTCATACCGTTATCTGTAAACCGAGTTCCGTTAAAATACAGCAGACAAATAACATGCCTATTTGAAAAAAATGCTAACTAGGCCTAGTTAGCAAGCTTACCAAAATGTTATACCCTTCAGCTTCATTATTGTTTGGTTGTGGAAGTTATGCAAGCTTCTGCAGTTAGTATTTTTCGTACTTCAATATTAACAGGTGTACAATTATATTCATTGTGAAAGCGACACTTAGTGGGCTGGTCAGCTAAGCTTATAGGGCTTAGAAATACACCTAAACAATAATTTACCCGAGAGCATCTGAATGGCCTTGTTGCCCAAGATGTCCCCCTCCACAAGGTCGTCGAGGCTGAGGTTGTAGGTGTACTGAAGGCGCACCAGGGCGTAGGCGGCGCCGTTGACGTCCACCTCTGACGGAAGCTCCACTCTCCCTCGCAGACCACCTAGGTTGGCCCGCACGGCTGTGGGAAGCAGAGCAACACTCAGAACCCGGTATCGTGATACATTAACCAGTATCATCTCCAAAACCTGTGCCGGAATACAATTATGATACAGTGACGTTACATACCTTGTGCATACCATATATATAAAGCATAATTTTATCTATTTCTGGTTCAGGTTTACCTTAAGAGTGGCGATGACGCTGAGTGGTGAAACTTTCTCTCAGGTCTTGAACCCTACTCAAACCGTCCATTCAGCTCACAGTGGAAGAATGTTGACCAGACCATACACTAGAAGGTGAAGGGACGATGACGTTTCGGTCCGTCCTGGATCATTCTCAAGTCGATTGTCGACTTGAGAATGGTCCAGGACGAACCGAAACGTCGTCGTCCCTTCACTTTCTAGTGTGTGGTCTGGTCAACATTCTTCAGCTACGTTATTGTGACTCATCGCCTGCACAATAGAAGAAAAATTAACTCTGCCCTTTTCTGGTCACGTTAAGATATTTTACAGCTGTTGGGGGACAGGAAGCCTGTCGGGGATATCTAGATCCCTTTAGTCTAGACTAACTATTAACCTTCCTAAGGACGCAACCCACATTCGACTAACTCCCCGCAGCCTACTATATACTACTAGAAGAGCTGTGGCATCAGGGGTAAGGAAACGTTGCGCAAACGTCTCGCCCTTCCTGAGAATCGAACCAGAGGTTAATTGGTTGCGAGCCGACTGCACACCAATTTAATTTCCTCTTGCTCTCACCCATTCCCGTACAAGCGTCACCACTTAAACTCTTCAAATGTGTTTGTTTAGTGTTTATGATCGAATTACATGATACTTATTAATAAGTACCGCGCAGGCCACCCTGTTATGGCTTTCTAAGTCTTTATAATAACACAAAAGTAGCCTGCAGATTTATGCACACCAACGGGGCGGAGATTTTTTTCTACCACAGACGTGGCCACACATTTACAATGCTAACGGGCATATATATATTTCCTTCTGTCCGCCATGGACAGAAGTAGAGATCTGTCAAACATATAATTAAGTGATTCATTGAACAATCAACCACATAAGGTGATTTTAATGCTTTTAAAATGCTAAGCTAACCTACAAACAAATACACAGATTTACGTCTGTTCGAAATAAAGTGTTCGATGTGTCTTTTTTTTTGAGGGGGGTGGGGAGCTTGGGAAAGGGAATAGGAATAGCACAGGGATATACAGCAAAAGCCTATGTATACCATATTACACCCACTACATTGTATAATCTATATGCCTACATATACCTTATTACACCCGTTATAAGGTATACTGTATATACCTATACCTACCCAGCTTCTTCAGCCAGTCTCTTCCATAATCAGTGGATAATACTTCAACCTGTGAGGCATTACCATTCCTGAACCCAGACAACATTCAGCTAGATCTGTGGTTGGCAATACCAAGCTACTGATCTCTGTCGTGAACAAACAGGAAGTCATAGTCATTGGACTACTGAATTACCCAGCCTCTGTGGTTATTCTCGAAGCTTTTGCTGTTGAATTAGCATTGTGTCAAGAGGAAGGGAAGCTTTGAATAAAAGATTGAAAGAACCGGCCGAGACGCATAATGGTGATTGGCCGGGCTGATTATTCTTCTCACTGCTGAGCTCCATTTTCTATGACAGAAAAATAATAGGAGTCAAGACTTTGTTTACCTAACTATTGACAACTGCACGGGTTGTACATCGCCAGCAATAATATATGTTGTACTGGTTTCGATTTAAGACTCGTCCCAGTGCGAGTGACGTTGATTCTAGATTGAATCAACGTCATTAATATTAAATCGGTGTTGATGACGTTGATTCCGCGTTAATCAAAGACATTGTGCCCACAAACACACGATAATTTAGCTACAGAATGGCAGCAATAGTCTACTGAAATCAATTCGTGATCCACTACAAGACTGCGCGCGAATGTTATTTGATGTAGTGTAATAATTGCAATTTATAATAAACTTGTTTTACTGAAAATTTGGGCTTGATTGACTAAGCATATTTCAACTCGTCCTTGACTCAAGTCCATTACATCCAGCAGATGACCCCACAGACGTATCCATAAATTTGTACTTCTTGTTCATTCAAACAGAAATTTTCTCAAATATAACTCTTGGTCCACCAGCGCGACGGTGGGAATGTGCTGCATTTTTTCCTCCTGTTGGTGTCTATACTGTCGTAAGACATCCTTCTTCAGCAGCCCTGACTGATACGACGCTTGCTACATCTAGAGTAACATAGACATTTATATATTTTCCGGTTAGATCAAAGGGCAGTGATGACTCGGCAGCGGTTAGGTGAAGGACTGGATGGTGTGCCCTTGGAACGAAGTGAGCCGCTGACATTTATGGTAATGGAGGTCAATGAAAGACGCACAGTTCCCTGGGGTTCAGTCAGACTAGTGCTATAGTTAGGAAGGAAAATGAGACTTCACAATTCAGCCGGTAGGCTATAATTTTGTTAATCTGGAGATACATCAGATGTCTATATCGGTACATCGAAGTACCGATATAGACATCTCCTTGGGTGTAGTGAAGGTTCGTCAAGCATCAATCAAACAATATGTTTACTCGTCGCAAGACAAAGTTTCTTTCCGCCGACATGAGATGTCAAGAGAATGATGGGGTTCATACCTCGCCCCTAAATCAACATGGTCTGCGTTCGAGTCTTGGGAAGGGAGGATTGTCTGACCGCCAATCCTTAATTGTTAACCCCTGTTCACTCAGCAGGAAGTGGATATCTGGTTTTTTACCAGTTGACAGGCCGTGTTTCAGGGGAACTAGTTGTGTAAGGCTTACAGTGAGCTATAGGAAGGGTAAACTCTCAACTTGCTAACAAGAATCGTAAATTTTGTGTAATGTTGATGGTGACAGTGGTGGTGGTGATGGTAGGGGTTGATGGTGACGTGGTGGTGATGGTGTGGGGGGAGGGGTTGTGGTTGTAGTTGAGGTGGTGGTTGGGGCTGAGGTGGTGGTTGGGGCTGAGGTGATGATGGTGGTTTTGGTGGTGGTTGGGGCTGAGGTGGTGGTGGTGGTGGTAATGAGAGTAGCGAGCCATGAACATAATGACCAGAGTGAGCAGACAGCCTCATGGTCAGCCTAGCAATTAGCAACATTGAAGGTCACTCCAGAGGATAAAGGACCGCCAGCTCTCACTACACAAACACCTCCACATAGTGCACGTATCCTCTACTCACTGGTGTCAGCAAAGAGGGGTCCTGTAGCACAATAGTCTACGTCCTCCACTCATACTAGAGAGACCCAGGTTCAGTCCCCGGGCGGGACAAATACGGTTGGGCACGTTTCATTTCACGTGACGCCACTGTTCACCTAGCAGTGAAACAGGAACTCGGGCATTAGGCACCTGTTGTGGGTTAACATCGTAGAGAAGGTCAATAGTTGGCTTGAGGGGGGGGGGGATCTTGATTTGCATAATTAAGTACAAGTTTCCTGTCTCCGACTACGAGAATTATGTCTCAATCCGAGTAATTAAATGCGTGATGAGAAACACTAAACTAAGAGACTGTGTTTGTGTGTGTACTCACCTATTTGTACTCGCCTATTTGTGCTTGCGGGGGTTGAGCTTTGGCTCTTTGGTCCCGCCTCTCAACTGTCAATCAACTGGTGTACAGATTCCTGAGCCTGCTGGGCTCTATCATATCTACATTTGAAACATATGTATGGAGTCAGCCTCCACCACATCACTGCCTAATGCATTCCATTCGTTAACTACTCTGACACTGAAAAAGTTCCTTCTAACGTCTCTGTGGCTCATGTGGGTACTCAGTTTCCACCTGTGTCCTCCTTGTTCGCGTACCACCAGTGTTGAATAGTTTATCCTTGTTTACCCGGTCGATTCCCCCTGAGGATTTTGTAGGTAGTAATCATGTCTCCCCTTACTCTTCTGTCTTCCAGTGTCGTAAGGTGCATTTCCCGCAGCCTTTCCTCGTAACTCATGCCTCTTAGTTCTGGGACTAGTCTAGTGGCATACCTTTGAACTTTTTCCAGCTTCGTCTTGTGCTTGACAAGGTTCGGGCTCCATGCTGGGGCCGCATACTCCAGGATTGGTCTTACATACGTGGTGTACAAGATTCTGAATGATGTGTGTGTATGTGTGTGTGTGTGTGTGTGTGTGTGTGTGTGTGTGTGTGTGTGTGTGTGTGTGTGTGTGTGTGTGTGTGTGTGTAGCACCAGCATCCGACAGGGGTGGTGGCTGCCTCCTGCCTTGTCGTCAAAGCACTTACGATTCAGTATTTCAGTATTATGCCACACTTGCATCACCTACTGGCCGTTATGCTGCCCCCCCCCCCATTCTTCCCCCCCCCCCCCCCCCCGGCCACCTTGTTTGGTTCAGTCATCACCTGGTCATTGACTCAACAGTAAATTGCGTGTCAGCATCACTAAGTAGTACTGTACGATGGCCGTGACAACGAAACGGGACGATTCGTATCATGGGGCAGAACGCAGTCTCCAGTATTTGTTTACAAATACTGCTACGGCTAATATTGCTCCAGCCTACGCCAGGTCAAACACTGATGGGAAACCCTGAGTCTTGTCGATAACACTATCGTATAACCTTCGGTGAGGCTAAACTCATCCTCATTACACAAGAAGCATCATCAGTATACAGATCCTACAAATCATTAAAGAGAGACCAAGATGATTCAGGATTGATGTTGCTGTTGCAAAATCCAACACTTCACAAATGTAAAATACAACGCGATCTATAATGGCTGTTATCTGAACTCTTTAATTTACCCAGCAGGCAAAACATGTTTTTAAGTAATGTTAAATCAACGTTTTCAACACTAATCAATGTCATATGGCCGGATATGCCCGTGGGTAACATTGCCGCCATAACCTCACCTGAATCCGTTGGACTTGATAAAGCCCTTGCACGTAAAATTATGGTTACTCCTCTCATCTTACAGCTTCACGATATAGTAGTTGGCACTTTGTGATCTCTACAGCTAAGTGCACCTTTTCAATTACCTAATAACCCTTATGCTGCTGCAATTGTCATATTCTATTTTTCCCCATTTGGTTTAACATTTTGGACACGCGCGGTTTAAGGATTAAACAAAAAATTAACAATAGAACATCTTAAAACGTTGAAGTTTGTTGTAAAATGAAAGTGGAATTACTTTGGAGGACCAACGTACCCACTGCCACAGTGTCAAAGAGTGGCTTTGGTTCGACGTTAAGCCAGCGTTGATGTTATTGATTCAGAATTGAATTGACGTTTGATAGTGTGGCCACTGGGTAGGGACTCGGGGATTGCTAGTCTTTATATTAGACGACTTAATAGCTAGAAAAGCTGTGTCTAGGAGCTGAACCTCGATCCAGATCATGTTGTAGGTAAATATACAAGTAACGTGATCCGCAGCACCTCTCGGAGACGGATGTGCTGAGGTAAGGGAGCAGTGATCTACAGATAAGCAAGCAGTTATCCTTAGGTAAGATAACAGTGACCCCTAGGTAAGGCAACAGTGACGTACCTTCAGCAGAGGAGTCGTTGAGGGCCGCCTGAACCGCATCGAACTCGTGGGTGAGGCGTCGCAGAAGGTGGTAGCTGTTGATAGGATGCTGCAGGTAGTTCTCTTGCCCGCCTCGCCAGCTCCCGATGTACCTGCGTCACAAAATGCGTCACTGCATGGCATTATGACCCATCAATGCTCTACAACACACACATTACATGGTATTGTCACAACATCCTCTACAACACACACATTACATGGTATTGTCACAACATCCTCTACAACACACACATTACATGGTATTGTCACAACATCCTCTACAACACACACATTACATGGTATTGTCACAACATCCTCTACAACACACACATTACATGGTATTGTCACAACATCCTCTACAACACACACATTACATGGTATTGTCACAACATTCGTTACAGCACTTACGTCACAACATGCTCTACAACACATTACGACAAGCCATTATGTCACAACGTATGTAACAACAAGTCATTACGTCACAACATGATTGTACAACACTCTTTCACCCCTGTCAATGTAATGCAAGTCACAACATAACAGGCAGATGTTGAGCAAAAACAACAGAGGCACGGGTCAAGCCAAGTAAGAGACGGGTGTTGCGTTGCAAACACACAGACGCTGCAATGATTATGTTGAACAGGACAATGACGCCAGCGGGCCCCACATCCCCCCAACCTAAAGAATTGACAACATCAACCAAACCCTTAAATGGTATATCAGGAAAGCAAATCATACACTCCTCTACTGACGTTACCAATCAATCCCTCATTCACATTTGGAAATATATTTTTTCCTTCTTTAAACTTGAGTATTGTGAGCCGGGGCGTAGGAGCAATTGCGAAACACGGAATGAAATTCTCAGGGACAGAGATTCACCGCATCATAATGAGGTTGAGATCCCTGTAGTTCAGTGACCCAGGAGATGGCAATTATAATTATACCGTCAATGACAGTGGATGTCTCTCATGTGGGAGAAGGAAAGAACGAAGATATGAATTACTTCCTTCAGATCCGTCGTGGAACGCACAAAGATGGTTAAGGAAGATGTTGAGCCGAGAACCAGCGACAGAAGAAAGCTCCTTCAGAAGATATGTGGAGAGGCATTGACTATCCAATATTTTGAGGGTTCAGTTCCCTAGTCTATTAATATGTGCCAATGGAGCCTTTTTCCATTACCACTCACAGGATGGATATGGGGTCCACTACCACTCACAGGATGGGTATACGGTCCACTACCACTCACAGGATGGGTATACGGTCCACTACCACTCGCAGGATGGGTATACGGTCCACTACCACTCACAGGATGGGTAATACGGTCCACTACCACTCGCAGGATGGGTATGGGGTCCACTACCACTCACAGGATGGGTATGGGTCCACTACTACTTACAGGATGAGTATGGGGTCCACTAAAACTCACAGGATGGGTATACAGTCCACTACCACTCACAGGATGGGTATACGGTCCACTACCACTCACAGGATGGATGGGTATACAGTCCACTACCACTCACAGGATGGGTATACAGTCCACTACCACTCACAGGATGGGTATACAGTCCACTACCACTCACAGGATGGGTATACAGTCCACTACCACTCACAGGATGGGTATACGGTCCACTACCACTCACAGGATGGGTATACAGTCCACTACCACTCACAGGATGGGTATACAGTCCACTACCACTCACAGGATGGATGGGTATACAGTCCACTACCACTCACTGGATGGTTGGGTATGGAGTCCACTACCACTCACAGGATGGTTGGGTATGGGGTCCACTACCACTCACAGGATGGGTATACAGTCCACTACCACTCACAGGATGGTTGGGTATGGGGTCCACTACCACTTACAGGATGGATGGGTATATAGTCCACTACCACTCACAGGATGGGTGGGTATACAGTCCACTACCACTCACTGGATGGTTGGGTATACAGTCCACTACCACTCACAGGATGGTTGGGTATACAGTCCACTACCACTCACTGAATGGTTGGGTATACAGTCCACTACCACTCACAGGATGGGTGGGTATACAGTCCACTACCACTCACAGGATGGGTGGGTATACAGTCCACTACCACTCACAGGATGGGTATACAGTCCACTACCACTCACAGGATGGATGGGTATACAGTCCACTACCACTCACAGGATGGGTGGGTATACAGTCCACTACCACTCACTGGATGGTTGGGTATGGAGTCCACTACCACTCACTGGATGGTTGGGTATGGGGTCCACTACCACTCACAGGATGGTTGGGTATGGGGTCCACTACCACTCACAGGATGGTTGGGTATGGGGTCCACTACCACTCACAGGATGGTTTGGTATGGGGTCCACTACCACTCACAGGATGGTTGGGTATGGAGTCCACTACCACTCACTGGATGGTTGGGTATGGGGTCCACTACCACTCACAGGATGGGTATGGGGTCCACTACCACTCACAGGATGGGCTGCATTAACTAAACTAAATTACCCAACACAGTTGTGGGCATCGGAACCAAACCACAAGAGCCCTGGTTATATTGAGGTTATTTTGAGATGATTTCGGGGCATAGCGTCCCCGCGGCCCAGTCCTCGACCAGACCTTTTTGTTACACACCCTCCCAGGAAGCAGCCCTTAGCAGTTGTCTAACTCCCAGGTACCTATTTACTGCTAAATAGCCCTAGCGAGATTGGGTACATATATATAGTAAAAAAAGGATAAGAACGGCTAAATAAATGAAATTTGGAGAATGGAAAACTTAACATCAATGCGCTTGACATCAATCCTGTGCAAACTGCGATAGGTAATTTCTTTGAGATGTATTTCTTTCTTGTCTCAATAAACATACTTGAACTTGATAGGTTTCCACTTTTTTTCCACGCCCACACAGGTGTTACTGATATATTAGGTGTTTGGTGGCCAGCCAGCACTAGCTTGTAAATAACATAGTCAACGCCACATCGTCAACAACCCCCCACCCACACACAAAGCTAACATCACCCCCCCTCCCCTTCGCCCCCTCCAACACACCTTGTCAAGCACAAGACGAAGCTGGAAAAAGTTCAGAGGTATGCCACAAGGCTAGTTCCAGAATTAAGAGGCATGAGTTCCGAGGAAAGACTGCGTGAAATGCACCTCACGTCGTTGGGAGACAGGAGAGCTCGGGAGACATGATCACTACCTACAAAATTCTCAGAGGAATTGACAGGGTAGATATAGATAAACTGTTTAACACGGGTGGTACGCGGACAAGGGGACACATGTGGTAACTAAGTTCCCTAATGAGCCACAGGGGCTTTAGAAAGAACTTTTTCAGTGTCAGATGAAATGACACTGATGGAATGCATTAGGCAGTGATGTGGTGGAGGCTGACTCCATACACAGTTTCAAATGTAGATATATGATAAGAGCCCAGTAGGCTCAGCGAACTGTACACCAGTTGATTGACAGTTGAGAGGCGGGACCAAAAAGCCAGAGCTCAACCCCCGCAAGCACAACTAGGTGAGTACACCCCTCCGTCAACACCCTCCCCCCCCCAACACACCCCGCCAACCTTGCCGTCAACACAGTAAACAAGAGATCATTACCTCGCCATAAACAAAGCAACGCCGTTACGTTGATAAGGATATCCTCTAATCCAGATGAACACGATCTCTCATTACCCAATTATAACTGGTTGTAGATCCCGCAAATTGGGTTGTTTACAACAATTATATTATTTTGCTCGTGTTTTTTTCTTTTTAAGTTTATCGTAAGTTATCGGTTAATTTATTTTACGGTTAAATCAGTCGATAGAACAGTCACTGGCTAGGTGGACCTAGACGAAACAAAATGCTTCTTGTCACCGGCAATAAGGAGCATATTTTAGTACAGTGGTTAAAAATGTGCGCAACATGACTGGTTTCGAACGTGAGAGAATTTGAAAGTGGCATTTTCGAACACTTGTCCGCAACCCCCGAGAAACTGAGGAGGCCTGATGGTGATCTAGCCTTTCCACATCTAATCGTATATTACTGTCTGAACACCCCCCCTCCTCCCCGTCTCCCCCCTAAGATATGGGAAGGGTGAGCGCTCGTGTCCCCCCGTCCATAACAGACGGTCACTGACTCCTGTCAGATCGCTAATCCGTGGATGATTCCTGTAATAACGCAGCTCTCCCGTTAGCTCCGGCTGTCAAAGGTGGCTTCCTAGCTGTCCCGCCTTCCACCCCTCTCCTCTCTGCCACCCCTGGTGATGCGCACCATCACTGGTGTCACCCATCACTTACGTTGTCAGCGGCTACGTCTCTATTCTCCTCCTTCCTTTCTCCCGAGGAGCTGAAGCCCGCCGCCATTATTGTTTACATTGAGCGTTCGCGTACCGGATTCCTGTTGACTATCATCCACCACATATGGCGTCCAAGGCTCGCGTGATCCCGGATGATTACGACCGCTGATATCATCCACTGTGACCACACCTGCTAGTGTCATCCACCTTGGTCACGCCCACTAATGAAATTTTGACCATGGCCACTATGGTCAGCAACAATAACCATGTCTACCGTTATCATACACTATAATTACGTCCGTAATTTGTACGAATAGTCATAGTTCGTTTCCCGACTAAATGAATGTAGTGACAATTAAATCAAAAGTCATTTAATTACGCTCGGCATAAATATATTAGAATACTCGTTGGCTAAAATGACAATGTTGGATCTCAGGCTTCAATAAATTTGACAACAAAATTAGCCTATTAGCTAAAATATGTTTAAGTTAGAACAAGTCACAATAACGTGGTTAAAAAATTCCAGCCCACACATGTGATGTGAAAATGGCAACGCTTCTGTCCGTCCTGGACCCTTATGAAGTCGTGACGACGTTTCGGTCCGTCCTGAACCCTTATCGCTAAAATTATAACGTTCAGTTCCCGAATCTATTATGTGCCTCTATAATATTTTCCACTATTGCCAACAGAATGGATATGGGGTGCACTATTACCCATAGGAAGGGTATGGGGTGCACTAATTCCCATAGGAAGGGTATGGGGTGCACTACCTCCCATAGGAAGGGTATGGGGTGAACTACCTCCCATTGGAAGGGTATGGGGTGCACTACCTCCCATAAGAAGGGTATGGGGTGCACTACCTCCCATAGGAAGGGTACGGGGTGCACTACCTCCCATAGGAAGGGTATGGGGTGCACTACCATCCACAAGAAGGGTACGGGGTGCACTACCATCCACAAGAAGGGTACGGGGTGCACTACCATCCACAAGAAGGGTACGGGGTGCACTACCATCTACAGGAAGGGTATGGGGTGCACTATCTCCCACAGGAAGGGTATGGGGTGCACTACCTCCCACAGGAAGGGTATGAGGTGCACTACCATCCACAGGAATGGTGTGGGGTCCACTTGGGTATGGGTGCATAATATATGAACAAAACTAAATGGCTCATAATCGTGATAAACATAGGTCCCAGAACAGAATCCTGGGGCACTCCACTGCAACAGTTCAACACTTTGACTCGACTCCATTTATTCTGACCACCCCACCTCCCCCCCGATTTACTCTGATTTATGCTGGAAGAATTGTGGTGGTGGTGTGTAGTTTTTATAACAGAAACAAGATATTGGTCCACAGGATGGGCCATTGGAAGATATTGATCCAGACAATTTCTTCAAAGGGCTAGATGTAACACAAACAAGGAGCAACGGTTTCAAACTCAACAAGCTACAACGGAGGCTACCTTGAGGTGCTTCCGGGACTTAGTGTCCCCGCGGCCCGGTCGTCGACCAGGAGGACAGAAAACAGGAGATGTTTTTTTCACCCAAAGGGTTATAAACCCATGGAACTGCCTACCCGCTGAAGCTGTAAATACCCAAATACTGCTGCAGTTTAAACTCCATATTGATAAAAACATCAGAACAAAGGGGTTAACTTTGACAAGCCACCGGCTTCCTGTCCTCGTCGAGGCCAGTAGAGAGATAGTGGCCCCTCGGGTAAATATAACTAGACGTTACAGGATCATTACAAACATGAGAGTGGCGTTAGGGCTACTTACTGCCTGATGACTCGTAATCTGGCCTCCTCCTTGTCGACGTAGTCTTGGAGGACGTGGATGACAGAGTTCTCGGCCTCCACCAGCTGCGCCACCGTCACCGCTGAGGTGTGCACGTCCCCCAAACTCCAAGTCGTCTCCACCACCGTCACCATCACCAGCACCACCACTCTCGCCACACTCACCATAACGACAAACAAAATATGACAAACAAAAAATTCGCAAGTCTATCCTTAAAGAGACGCTCATGCGATACTCGACAAATACCCGAAGTAGCGTCTCTTTAGTCAATATTACCAACTGTAATACAAAGAATTGAGTTACGGCGAGACGCAAGATCCTCAGCCGTAGGGACACCGAGTGACGGGATGTGTGTGTGCACGTGTGTGAGAGGAGCGAGAGTGGAAGCGGGTGGTTGCTTGTCTGTCACACACACACACACAGTGCGCGGGAGGAGCTGGAGAGGGTACGGAGATGGGGGGGGGGAGGTTGTTCCTACAGGTAAGTGAGCTTACTTCAAATGGATGAATGGTCACTTTGTGTCATGCTTCGCTCACCCACCCAATCATCACTCGCCTGCTATTTACAGGCGATTTACGCGTGAATTACACACACACACACATATGTGAGTATGTGTGTGTGTAAATCACGAAAATTAACACGTGATGAAAAATGTGACAGTGTCAGACCACGGAGGAAGAACTGAAACATAAATTTCCTTAAGTACTTTCGTATTTAATAATACATCTTCAGAAGGGTGAGTTACAAGTACAAAGATGTGGACATATATGGGTAGGAGAGAGGTGAAGTGAAGTGAGATACAATGATAAAAATGACTGGGATTGGGTAGGTATGAATAGCATCCTATGGGCCAATAGGCCCATAGGCTTCCACTTCCTATGGGCCAATAGGCTCATACATGGATAATAACAGCATAAGCTAGAGAATAATAACAATGAATTAGTGAGACAAATGTGTATCAATGATCCTACCCAAATCGCCTTTTAACTGATCTATCAAAAATGGATCTAAATTATATAAACCACTGCTAATGTTCAAATTACATGATTTTGTAATCTGTATTAAAGCAGATTCAATTATGTTCCTATTGAAAGTAATTTTACAATTCGTTATTGAGGAAACCATCTCCCAATCATTATATATATATTTTACTAGATAAGTATTCGGCTCCGGTTGACGGACGCCACATCTTCACTACAATACATACTATCATCATTACTGTAACCATCTTACCCAAGCATTGAGTCCTCATCTTCAGAAGGACAACACCGGGAGAGAAAATAATCATCCCAGAAGTAAGTCGACTCTCAAACAAGGAATGACTGAGGGGCCACAGGTATGGGGTGCACTACCTGTGGCCAACACTGCAAACCAGAAATGAAATCTTGTCTCGTCTAAATCTTGGCTGATCTCATCTAAATTATTATCACCTTTTTAATAATAAATTGTAGCCATCTACTTTAATAATGTACCATAAGTGTGCAGTTCAAAGTTTGTACAAAAACCCAATGCACCTACTGGAAAATAAAAATAAATTACAACTAATCACTGAGCTCTCTTCCATTAAAAAAAAAACATGAGAAAATGCTTTAGTTACCCTTAAAAATGCCTATTAAGCTATATTACGTTTTCTGTTAAATATGATGACCATTGAAAACGGAACAAAAAATAGATTAACTAAAGTACAATTAAATTTACAAAACAAAATAATAATAATTCCTTGTGTCGGGGGACAGGCAGCCAGTTTATACATAGGAATAGGCATGTTAGGCTTACATTGAAGTCCGCCCCAAGGTCGAATTAATGACCTTTCCCAGGATGCATCCCCCACAACAAGCGACTAATTCCTGGGTACCTTGTACCCAATTTACTGCTAGGCGAACAGGATTATTAGGTGATAAGAAGCAAGCCCAATCATTTCTGTCCCGCCCTCGGGACTGGAACTGGGAATTCTCGAATGAGAGTCGAGAACGAACCCGACTGTGCTACCGCAGCCTATCCTCTTGTTTTAGTATTACTTATAAGTAGGGTGACGACACAGTACATATACCGACGTACAACGCAATTAGAACACAGGAGACATCTCCCGTCACGCAGGGTGCAGTCGCACCTCCGCAGATCTCCAGTATCATCTATTGATACTGGTGATGGCTCAAAAGGGCCACCACTTACGAGCTATTCATGTCCGTGCCACCTTTTGGGTGGCTTAATCTTCATCTTCTTCATCAAGGAAATGACGGGAGACATCTCCCGTCACGCAGGGTGCAGTCGCACCTCCACAGATCTCCAGTATCAGCTCTTGATACTGGTAATGGCTCAAAAGGGCCACCACTTACGGGCTATTCATGCCCGTGCCACCTTTTGGGTGGCTTAATCTTAATCAATCAATCAGCAATTAGAAATTACGAGCTATTCATGCCCATGCTACCTCTTGGGTGGGTTAATCTTCATCAATCAAATCCGCAATTTTAACGTAGAAATCGGTACTGATGAGTCTATATATAAACCGGAATATATATTTATATATATATAAAAACAATATTAAATATGACCGAAAAAGTAAGATTAATAATTCTAAACACGAATTTTCTCAATCTTTCGTACATTTCGTTTCACCGTTGGAGGTAAATCAAAAATCAATTCTCCAAAATTCATTTTTATTTCTAGTTGACGCGACACGAGCGCGTTTCGTAAACTTATTACATTTTCAAAGACTTTAGTTCACAAATACACAACTGAATAGAACAGTTGTGTGTTCTATTCAGTTGTGTATTTGTGAACTAAAGTCTTTGAAAATGTAATAAGTTTTACGAAACGCGCTCGTGTCGCGTCAGACTACTGGGAAAATGAATTTTGGAGAATTGATTTTTGATTTACTTCCAACAGTGAAACGAAATGTACGAAAGATTGAGAAAATTCGTGTTAGAATTATTAATCTTACTTTTTCGGTCATATTTAATAATATATGTCTACAGGAAAGACTGCTACCAAAATATATAATATATATATATATATATATATATATATATATATATATATATATATATATATATATATATATATATATATATATATACTACAATAAGGTACATTGGGTTTACGAGCGTACATAGCATGGATGTTTTTTACATTTTTATAAAGCCACTAACACAGCGTTTCGGGCCGAGTTCTTAATCTAACAGATAATTTTAAGTAGGTAATTTGTAGCAAAATTGAAAATGTTTACAGGTACATTAACTGTAAGGAAATTTTAGGAAAATTAGTAGGTAAAATTATGGTAAAATCTGAGGATTATCAACATGTACATCGTAGAGTAAACTGAGGATTATTTCTGGGTACATTGTAGCAAAATTTGCGTTCAACATAACCATGATATAAGATGATGGCAGTGATTACAATGGTAAAAATGTATGGCTTAGGCACACATATTGGGGAAGTGGATAGTACAAGATGCAATGTTTGTTTGAAGCACTATAGGTTGGAAACTATGAGGATGATATTAGGTACTTTTTGGTTTTACTTTTGAATAAGACGTAAGTTGGACAGCTTTTTAATTCGATAGGGAGTGAGTTCCATAGACTAGGTCTCTTTATATGCATAGAGTGTTGACACAGATTTAGTTTGACTCTGGGGATATCAAAGATATATTTATTTCTGGTGTAGTGATTATGGGTTCTATTACATCTGTCAAGGAAGAGTTTCAGATCAGGATTTGCATTTAGGAACATGGTTTTGCACATGTAAATGACACATGGGAACGTGTGAAGTGAGCTTATGTTTAGGAATTTGAACAGAGGGGCTGTGTGTTGTCTGAAAACAGTTATTATTCTGATAGCTGATTTTTGCTGTAGGATGATGGGCTTGAGGATTTGTAGTGGTTGAACCCCAAGCACAGACCCCGTGTGTAAAATAGGGATAGATTAACGCGTAGTATAATGAGAGATGAGCAGAATTTGGAACATAATATCTGACTTTAGAAAGACTTTTTTGGTTATGTGTTTTATGTGGGTGCTGAGGTTGAGTCTCTTGTCTATGTATAGGTCAAGGAACTATAGACTAAATGTGTATGTATATATACCCTTTCATTCACCTGGACACACTGAGCATTGTATATATATATATATATATATATATATATATATATATATATATATATATATATATATATATATATATATATATATATATATATACTCGGATAATCTTGGGCATAGCATTTTATATATATATGGACCATAAGGAAGTGTGTAAAATAGGGATAGATTAATGAGCAGAATTTGGAACATAATATATGGGTGCTGAGGTTGAGTCTCTTGTCTATGTATAGGTCAAGGAACTATAGACTAAATACTGAGCATTAAAATGCTATGCCCAAGATTACCATCCGAGTGCCGGCGGGGAAGTGGTTCATATATATATATACATACCAGTTGTGGGATATATATATATATATATATATATATATATCCCTGTACATACCAGTTGTGGGAGTATGGGTTATATGAGTTTTATATATATATATATATATAAAATGCTATATATGCCGGCGGGGAATATATATATCCGCCTGCATAGTCGTCATTGAGTACGGCAGGTGCGACGAGGCTGGACCAGAGAGCTAAAACTCGACCATGGCAGCACAGCTAGATGAACACAACTAACCCGCCACTCACAACACAGACGGTAGCCAAGAGGTAAATACAGGTACATATTTTCCTTGTGATATCTTGCTGAACGCGCTATATATATATATATATCACTATATGCCAACTCCTCCTCCTCCAGCTCGTGTATGTGTCAACATATTGTAATTAACACAATATTAATTATATAAATAACACGAAAAATGGTTGCAGGTGATTGGTATGTATTAATTACTGCCACTGGATTATGAGTGAATATACTTTTTTAATCTAGATATGTCAAAATACTATAAAATTACACGCAATATGGTGGCCGTTGCAGTCATGGGAGGGGAGGTAGAGACAATTTTATTTAAATTATTATTAAATGAACAACTTGTGATCGCAATCGGACGAGCGCTGTTTACAAGCATCCAACATGGCGTCCCTGTGCTAGACCCGGGAGGTGCAACGGTGAAGCTCTTGTGCGCTCCTGTTCTTGCTATAAAACGGAACTTCACAATATTCTGAACGAAACTGAGTCGTCAAAAGCAAGAGCTCATAGTAACCTTAATGCCGCGTTAAATATACTTAAAGAATCTACATCTGCAATTAAATTATGAGGCTTCAACTAGAGTCAGAGAGATGTCCATTACATAACCCGGACAATAACACTGTACATCTTGAGGTAGGGCTGCCGCACTTATAAACTTTATTTCCCCTTGAAACTGAATGTAACTGCACGAAATAACTTACGTGTAGTACTTATACGACAAGGGCTAATCTAATTTATTGAGAATTGAGGCAATTTATAGGTCAGGTGAGGGTTGGTGGGGTGTGAGACAGGGATGGCTTGCCCGGACCCCCCCTGGCAGGGTTGCTGCTGTGATAGACACTACTGCATATATGGCTCTTCTTACTCCACTAATGCAACTTGTTTTGCTGTAGAATGACTCTTAACCACATCTTAGGGTATGTGTTCAAGTTTCGTGCAAGCAATATTAACTAGTAAAGTCATATAGACTCCCGGTAGTATAAAGCTTGGCCATTTCCATGGTTGTATTGTAATGGTATTAGCCACTACTCCCATGGTGTTGACTAGTTACTTGTGTGTTTGCATTGATGCGGACACTACCGTAGTGTTTAGACCCATGCACATAGGCATACATTATTTTACTTTGGTTCATAGTTCATACAATACTGGTCCATTGAATATTCTGCTATTTGAATATAGGACCATTTGGTGCTTCACTTTTTGGGTACAGGGTAACAAAGACTTTTGATATAGCCTAATGTGTCATCAGAATGAGGTGGCCATTGTCCAATTTGCTTGTTTTAGTTAGCAACACTTTTCTGAAAAACTTCTGGCATGAGTTATGTTTTGTTAGGGAAAAACTAAAATATATTGAGTTATGTTAAAGCTGTCTGCCTGACAACACCCTAGTTTAGTTTGGCACAACTGCATCAAAACACTTAGGGTTAATCAGTCCCAAAAATCCAAATAGTCTCCATGGCGTAGTGGTAAGTCACTCGCCTAGCGTTTCGCGAGCACTCTATCCTGGGTTCGTATCCTGGATGGGGAGGATTTACTGGGTGCAAATCCTTAACTGTAGCCTCTGTTAAACCCAAAAATAGAATGGGTACCTGGTTATTAAACGATTTGGTAGGTCGTATTCCGGGGAATATTTGGATTAAGGACTTGCCTGAAATGCTATGCAGGCTAGTGGCTGTACGAAAATGTAAGAACTCATTTATATACAGTATAAAAAAAAATCATATTAGGGTATCATCAATTGTACACAGGTGTTTTGACAAAACAATATATACAGGGTGTATACATTTCATTTGCCCGGGAGCCTTGAACCACAAACCCCAAGCACAGGAAGGAAGGGAAGGAACTATCAGGGGAGTGCCAAGCACTTGAGACAGTTGCTGTATGAACAAAACTACATAGGGTGTATATATATCATTAGGTCAGGTTTTGTTTCCCTAACTTATGCTGCATTAGCTTAGGTAAGGTGGGGTTAGGTAAAGGTTGAGTTAGATTAGGTCAAAGTTAAGTAAGGTTATGTAGGTTTTTTAAAAAATTTTGGCTAGCCATCTTCTTGAAGCACTGACAGGTTCCATATACCACTGGAAGTTTTTAACTGCTGAACTAAATAAACCTATTTGGTTAACCAATCTTGTTACAAGTACAACCAGCTGTGAAAAGTAACAGTTCACACATACCTATGTTTTCTGTGCATTGGATTCGATATGTTAGGTGGGTTGCTTGGGTTCGAATGTTTCTGGCTAGGTTATGAGGTTGGACTTGCTTATAGAGTGGCACATCAAGTGAATGTGCTGGGTTATTACCCATAGTACCCATTTTCAGGTATCTGCCAATGTACTGTATCATTAACTCCAAACATTTGGCGATAAAAAGAAAAGTTCTTGGAACCTATTATTTTTTTTTAAAGAAAAATGTGGTCATGGAAAGTGAACATTTTAATATGTATTTTAACTTTTATACAGATTCTTCTTATCTTTTAACATGTTATTATTTGATGATTTCTTAGCATTTTTTGGTGGTTTCAATCTATTAAATGATGCAGGCATCATAGTATTTTTTAAAAATAGGTAGTTGGACGTTAGCGAGTGGCTGGCTACAAGCAACCCTTTCCCCATTAGTCATTAGAGTATTTATAAAATTAGTTTATGGTAACGAGAGAAATTATGTATTAAGTTTAAAAGTACAGTATTAGTATCATTGGCATTTATCAATTTGATAAACTTATAAATTTCAGAGCTGAGGTATGGACCATTTCCTAAGTGGCTTGGACCACGGACCGAACCCGTGGTATGCTCCACGCCCCCCTGTAACAAGTCATGGTCACGAGTTTTCCATTGGTAACAGTAAGTCCATTACCTGTACCAGCTAGCATGATATTTTGTATAACAATTCAGAGAATAGTGTCTATTTAGTATTTTGTTTACCACTGACCAAGTTCTTCCTTAGTTCTGACCTGTAGTCTTCCAGTCACTATCCTGCCATATACTTGACCACTGTTCTTAGCTGATTAATAATTATATATTTTCTTCCAGCTCCTTCAGAATATGCAGTTTCTCATTGTAAACAGCTTTCTTCAGTTTGCGCTCCACTCATTCTGTTGGATTAATACGTGGAGATTGAGATTGATTTTTTACTCCTTTAAATCATTAGGCATTAGATTTGGAGGTACACTGTAATCCTAGAATCGTTACCTTTCAGGAAAGCCATTTGCGACCAAGTCAGAGTTTCTTACTTTTTTTTTATAAAATATCTGGGTGTGCTTTGGAATCCATTTACTCCTCAATTCTAACAAGGATATCAGGAACAGAGAATGCAAATACGGACAGATTTTTTACAGAGAATGCAAAGCTGCCCAAAAGCAGTGGTGAGAGGGGTCTCTTAGTAGTTGGCTCGTTTTTTACCTGCAATTGGGGATCCTGGATTCAGTTCCCAAGCAGAACAGAAATGGCTGGGCACAGCCATTTCCTTTCATCTAATGTCTATTTCCTCTAGTAGTAAATAGGTACCCAGGAGTTTGGCAACTGTTGTGGGGTTGTTTCCTGGGGAAGGTCAGTAGTTTGACCTTGGGGGCAGCCTTTGATACAAGCCTGAAGTATACTTAAATACAGGTTTCCTAGTCCAACAAAACTAATTTTAATGTAGTGTTATTTCTCTTTAATTATCAAGGATTTTTGTATCATGAGGTACGACTTTGAATCACATGTATACATAATACCTACAATATTTATATACAGTAATAAAAATATATTTAATTTCAGGCTCATTCCAGTTGATTCCTATTTCTGGCAACAGCAACCATATCAGCAGCAATCATAGTCCACACACAGTGCCACCAACACCAACCTCGCAGCAAAATATACAGTCTGCCTTCAAACCCCCAGCCGATTCCTCAAAGGTTAAATCTGAGGTCAAAGATGAAGATGAAAGGAATGGAAGCAAGACTCCATCTCCTTCAGTAGCCCTAACACCGTTGTCTACTAATATGGCTCACCACAGCCATAAAGCCAAAAATAGTAGGCATCATTAAAGGTTTTAACAAAGCAATTAATCTTAAGTGTTATTTGGAGGTAGTGTATCAGATGGACTTAGTCATTGTACGAGTGCTAATAATAGGAAGTCAAACGATCCATTTTTTGTTTTGAGCCTTTTGTCTGTTCATTCTTTACTGAACTTTTTAACTAAAAGCAAACTGCTTTTTTTATTGTGAAGTTTCATTACAATAAACTATCTTTTCATGTTTCTATAAAGTCTTTTTCAAGGTTTAAAATTACACCTGATTTCAGGGTGATAACTTATTCTTACACAGTATCTAATTTGTTTGATTGTATCAGCACTTGTCAGATAAAGTAAATAATTAAAAAAAATTAAGTAATTATCAAAAGAAAGCACAAAACCTAGAAACTATTTAGCACCTGTGTTTGTTGGGCAGAACATCAGGTAAAGCAAGTTGAATTTAAAACACATTAACACTATCGCGCTCCCGGTAGAACTTTAATTTTTTCCATCGTGCGCCGAGCATTTTGGGTGACCGCACGGCGACACTGAAAAGTGTATACTCTTTTCGGTCTGCTCACCTTAATTTTCCATGTATTTAAATTTGGTATCAATTTGTTTGAAAGAGAATGCTCTAGAGGAATATATATATAAAATTTCACCAAAACCGACGTGAGACCCGCACCAAATAAAAAACTGGTGATCATTAGTCATGAGCGCCAAACAGCGATGAAATGTTTATGCTTCTTTCAGGTTTGTCAACCCCGGAATTATTCTGTCCTTAATTTTGGTATCACTGTGATTGCAATAAAGTTCCATACACAGACATATGAAAATAAAGTACAAAACATGGGTGCGCCCCACCAGCAAGACCGTGGGAAGTAGCCCAAGGGTTACCCGCTACCACACGCCCTACTGCACATCGGCTACACCCCTACTGAAAAGTTTATACCCTTTTCATGTTTTTGATCGTAATTTCCGATGTACGTGTTTCATTTTGGTATCAATGTGTTCTCAATGAAATGTTCTTGAGGAATACATGTATAACATGTCACCAAAGCTAACGTGATGCCGGCACCAAATAAAAAACTTAAGTCGTTTGTTAGCCGTGCACGCCAAACAGTGCAAACATGTTGCTACTCTTTTCAGGTTTATCAAGTCCAAGCTTGTTCGAGATGTTCTTTTTTGTATCACTGTGATCGCAAAAAATTCCCTACACAGACATGTGCATATAAATTAGACAACATGTGCGTGCATAACCCGCAACGACCCCTAAAGGCGCCAAAGTGTTACCCACTACACCCGACAAACACATACAGTTTGCTAACAGAAGTTTTTGTGCTACATTGTTCATTGTGGTATCAAATTATTCACAATAAAATGCTCTAAATAGAAAGACAAATATAAGCAATAACAACCACAATATATATAAGCAATACCAATAACAAAGTATAAATCGGTAATATATTTATAAAAACTTATACAAAGTGTTTGTACTTACATACAGAATGATGATGGTAGAACTATAAATTGAGCATTTTGAAACTACCTTGAAGTTGATCGGATGAAAATTAAATTTTTTACAAATATGTTAATGGATGACGCGCGCGATAGTCATCGGATTACATTAAGGAGAAAAACTTATGACGATAATAGGCATCATCGGAGAGCGAAAGTGTTAAGCATATATTATACTGCTATAATTTTAGGACCTCATTAAATTGATAGTTTGTTAAAACATGTACCATACAGGTATAGTATATCATGTTGCAGTATTCCAGCTCATTCTCACTACAGTATTTGACAAGTGTTGAATTTTAAGCAGTTTTCTGAGTGCCCATCAGAAGCAGATGAACCTCGGCACCCCACTTAACCTATCAAACCCAATGCTTGTTAGTCTGGGGAGGCGTCAATATTTCGGTGCTCTTCATTTCTCTATAGCACAAGAATTTTCACACTGGTCGATAATATAAAAATTGTGGCATGTTAAGTGTGAGGACATATTAAGTATGCAGCAGGGTTGCAAGTGAAGTTCCATCTAGATATTACTTTTCTCATTACACATTGCCTACTAATAACTTTCTCACTGTTGCTACCTACACAGGAGGATGACCAAGTAGAAACCTCCATCCACATCATTGACCCAGATGCTATGATGTTGGATGATATCTAGTTCATCAATACTACCTCTTCAAAGTACTTATTTTTTTATTTTCCCCTCACTTAAATTTCAATAGTTGACATAAAATCATTGTCTCTGTAGGAAGTAATAAGATTAATATCCTGACTTGGAATATAGTAATTTGTTGGCCTTTATATTGATTTGTATACATACATTTAGCTTATCAGCTCCCTGTATTCTTGGTTATATTTCTATGAGGACTGATGTAGGGGCAGTAAATTCTAATATAGTGGCACTTCTAAAATCCGGACCTTCATATATAGGATCCCTCCAAATAACAGACTGATTTTACTAACTGATCACCATCTCCAAAAGTCTTATGTTCACAGTTCTGATCTGCATTTTGGTTATGAAACAACGAAATCTGGATTGTCATGTGTAGTAACATCCAGCAGATTGTTTTGTTCAGATTTACATTTGCTATTCTTGAGCTTTAAATATTATATGAAAATTTATTTTTATTTTACAAATATTTTACTGTGGTTGTACTGTTCTATAAATTGTACAGAAGAGTTTGTTTATGCGACTTTCTGTGGTGTCGGTCAATAAGTGCACATGTACCAATAATGTTTTCCCTGTGCACAGTCTGATCTCACATAACTCCATATTTTCAAAGAAAACAAAGAAGTAAAAATGCTTATCATTATTTGTGAGTTGAAAGCATGTCGACCTGCAAGAAGGGTAAGGGTATAGGAACCTCCTTACCATGGATAAGGAAGACGAGTGATTTGAAGAAACTTGAATGCGTGTGGGAAGGCAAGCGACTTGTGAAGAGGCATGGCTTTGAGACTGCAGTAGTAGTACCATTTCTGACATGAAGGTAAAGGAAGCAGATCATGGCATTTTTGTCAATAAAAAGGAGTGCAGTGGAGATAAGAGTCTTGCCAAAGACATTGAGACCATACCATCTGAGTTTGAGGATTTGGATGGTGATGCTTACCAGGTGGTTCATGCTGCATCATACCCTCTGGAGTTGGGGGAAGGCTAGCTGTTCATGTTGCAGTTACAGTCTTTAACTGTGCATTTATGACTTAGCGACCTAAGGGTTAAGGCCGTACAGGGTTAAGGTTAAGTACAATAAACAAATAGTTTTGCTGTTATTACACTATACAGTATACACAGGTTATGTATAAGTATCTGCTTGTATTGTTCACCATAATGAACCACTAAGTTGGTATAGTGAGTCAAAAAGCAATGAAGAGTGGCCACCACTCACCAGCCACCACTCCCTCCCTCACCTCCTCACTCGCCTACACACTCCTCCCATCATACTGTTTTGCTTTTATTCACTATACACAGATGTTATATATAAGTATCTACATGTTTTGTTCACCATAACTGTACATCTAAGCTTGTATGGCGAGTTCAGACAATAAGAGACGTAGCTAAACACACAGCTGGTGGCTGCCGCCCTCACTGGTTCAAGGCCAGACGCACTAATATTTCTCCTCCAACAATACTGTTTGTGGTGTTATTACACTATTAACCCCCATTATATATAAGTATCTACATGTTTTATTTGCTCTACCTGTACAAATAAGCTGGTATGTTGCCCAAAGACCATAGTGGCCACCAGTACACATCATATGTCATACAGACAATGCACCTCCCTCAGCAAAATGGCGGCTCCCAACATACTCCTATTGCTGTTATTACACTCTATACACGTTATATATAAATATCTACATTTGTGTTCACCATAGGGAACCACTAAGCTGGTGTGGTAAGTCCAGTCAATAAAAGGTGGCCACACAGGTAAGCTTCTATCATGGATGAAAAATTTTCTGACTGATAGAAAAATGAGGGCAGTAATCAGAGGCAATGTATCGGAATGGAGAAATGTCACAAGTGGAGTACCACAGGGTTCAGTTCTTGCACCAGTGATGTTTATTGTGTACATAAATGATCTATCAGTTGGTATACAGAATTATATGAACATGTTTGCTGATGATGCTAAGATAATAGGAAGGATAAGAAATTTAGATGATTGTCATGCCCTTCAAGAAGACCTGGACAAAATAAGTAGATGGAGCACCACTTGGCAAATGGAATTTAATGTTAATAAATGTCACATTATGGAATGTGGAATAGGAGAACATAGACCCCACACAACCTATATATTATGTAAGAAATCTTTAAAGAATTCTGATAAAGAAAGAGATCTAGGGGTGGTTCTAGATAGAAAACTATCACCTGAGGACCACATAAAGAATATTGTGCAAGGAGCCTATGCTATGCTTTCTAACTTCAGAATTGCATTTTAATACATGGATGGCGATATACTAAAGAAATTGTTCATGACTTTTGTTAGGCCAAAGCTAGAATATGCAGCTGTTGTGTGGTGCCCATATCTTAAGAAGCACATCAACAAACTGGAAAAGGTGCAAAGACATGCTACTAAGTGGCTCCCAGAACTGAAGGGTAAGAGCTACGAGGAGAGGTTAGAAGCATTAAACATGCCAAAACTAGAAGACAGAAGAAAAAGAGGTGATATGATCACTACATACAAAATAGTAACAGGAATTGATAAAATCGACAGGGAAGATTTCCTGAGACCTGGCACTTCAAGAACAAGAGGTCATAGATTTAAACTAGCTAAACACAGATGCTGAAGAAATATAAGAAAATTCACCTTCGCAAATAGAGTGGTAGATGGTTGGAACAAGTTAACACTTTGGTGCACCCCGCTCACCACCCCTCAACTGTGCGATATGGGACCCAGGATGTCAAGGGAGTGTGCGTAAATTCTGAAAAGTGTATACTCTCTTCAACTTTGTCACCTTAATTCTCGTCCTACAAGATTAAATTTGGTATCATTGTGTTTGCAATAGAATTCTCTACAGCACTAAATGCATATAAACTCCAAAAGCCCGGCTAATTACCCGCAGCAAACAGAGAAAGTGTGAACGAGTTACCCAGGAGCGCGCAAACGCGATAAAATGTTTTCACTATTTTCACTCTGGTCACCTCAATTTTTATCCTAAGTCTTTCATTTTGGTCTCAATGGGTTTGCAATAAAATTCTCTAGAGGAACATTAGCATATAAAATAAAAAACCTGATCACGCTCCAACCGCCGACGAGTTGAAGACGGGCCACGCGTTAGCCGCGAGTGAGTGCTCAGCCGCCTTCCAGCTACACTCCCAATTCCCGCCCTTTTCAAGCCTTTCTTTCGCAATTTTCTTCCTGGAAGGGCCTTGTTCATGATCACTATCCATCGTGGAGTAAGCGTAGATAGTTTCTAAAGCCGCAGTAAGAAATATAGCCACGGAAAATAGCCGAAATGTTCACACGTTAGAGATGCGAGGGGAGGCGACATTGGTCACAACAGTGGAGCGAAAACAATGGGCCCACGGCATGTGCCAAGCTGCCTGAGGGCCACGAGGCTGAACAAAGAAAATGGGAAGACATCGGCGCGCATTTTAAAACCAGTCCCGAAAAAATCGGATAAAAACCTGATTTTTGGCGATTATTTAAAGTGGATGACGCAATGCTGCGTCATCCCCGGAATTACCGCCAGTAAACGGACGACGCAATGCTGCGTCATGCCTGGGCGAAAGTGTTAAGTGAGAAGGTGGTGGAGGCCAAGACCGTCAGTAGTTTCAAAGCGTTATATGACAAAGAGTGCTGGGAAGACGGGACACCACGAGCGTAGCTCTCATCCTGTAACTACACTTAGGTAATTACACAGTCAGATGACGATGCCACCTCCCTCCCTCCCTCAGCATTATTCCTTCCACCATGGATCACAGCACTGAATATCACCACAATCCTGCTATTATCAGAATCCTGGTCAGTTTTATCACAGTCAGGGGTCTTCTGCAATACTATCATCACTAAATAATAGCATGTACATATATATTTTGACATTTTTTGGCAATGCTGTGCTCACAAGCTGAACAGCGGTGCTGTGAGCTCATGCTGTGTGCGCCAGCCTTGGTGGCTCAGTACTGAGGCTCTCACACCTGGGAATGTTCCCCACGATTTTTTTTTCTAGGTGGCGTCTGATAACTATCAGTCGTAGCTGGACTATAGCTGCTCCTATCCCTCGCGGGGGCATTTAAAATTGTGCGCTAGAGCCTCAATCGTCTATGTACCTATTGCATGGTTTCGGTAAAGTTACTCCCATCGTCTATATATGTATTGCGCGGTCTAAGGGTTAATTAAAGGATAATTTAGGTAAAGTTCAACAGGTGGCACAGCATGTAAGAATTTATGGCGAGAAAATTAGTGTTCAAGAATGTTTTTGAAATGCAGATTTTTGAAAACTCCAAAATTAAGTTTGTCCCAACACAATGCCAGTTTGTTTATACTAACAGTTTATAAAAAAGTTTATACTATTTCTATGTTTTTGTAGTTTTTTTTTTTTCAAGCAAAGTTTTAATGTACCCTGTATATATTTTGTTTTACATGGCCAATTTGCAATTTGCCCAAATAGCATGCATTTCATTGTACTGTAATAGAAAAAAATAAATACAAAAATAGTCCTACAGTACCACATCTTGCATACAGAATTTTGGAATTGGAATAAGAATCATATGGCTGACTAGTCATAATAATGGCTGTTGCTGGGGACAGGAAGCCTGTACTCGGATTTACTGAGGACCCCTTCCCTAGGCCAACTATTTATCTTTCCCAGGATTCAACCAACAACAGTTGCCCAACTCCCAAGTACCTATTTGCTGCTAGCTTTAAGAAAACATATCCAACTGCTTCTATCTTTATTTGGGGGAAGGCTTCCAGAATTATCACCAGTCTCACAACATTGGTTCTTCAGTTTTTTAGCTCTGCAATTTTCACTGTTATATGTTGGATTGGTAACTGGCTCTTCAGGATCCCAGTTACTGCTCACTTCTGTGAGCTCAGAATAATGCCCTCACACCATTTCTGCTGCTTGGAACTGGCGTGGGATACCATAGCATTTTTTTTCCCTGCATCGGGTACCTTTGCAAATCTCATTTTGCCCCTTTACAGTGATGATCACAAGGATCAGAGGTTAACACAATACTGTGTTAAACCACTCATAAATGCACTGGAAGATCACAGATCATTCAATCTCCCTTTCATAAAAATTTTGTTAAGTGCCAGACAAAACAAAAATCTATCGACAAACTAATTTGCACATCCCCTTTGTCCTTTACATCAATCCAGCCCTGTGGAGGGCAAAGGGTATTTATAAGGGGCCCGTGTCTCTGGTGCGTAGTCTCTTTCACATGTGTTTGGTAGTGGCTAGTACATAAGTGTGAGCTAAGGGGAACTACTGCAATGACTAACATTGAAATGGGCATTTTATTACACTTAAAGACATAGTAATGGAAAAATGTGTTAAGTTTGATTTGTGTGATTTTTTGATTGACAATATATTTTTTTACTGGAGCAAACTGAATTATTCCATGCAAACAGTAAACTACCTATATACAACAATTCATGTTACTTCTACTTTCAATACTTAACATTTAGAAATGTGACAAGATGTGAAGTCTATTTAATTAGTTACAGTGGACTGATCATAAGTACTTAAGCGCAGAGATTAATAGGAGCTAAAATGTTTTTACATTTTGCGTGCCCAATATATATTTTCACGTTATTGGAAATTAAATACATGCTGTAGTTGGCTGGATAGATGGACAATTTGTCGAGACATAATAAATTACAAATAATAATTATGAATTGTAATTTTCCAGGTGAGCGGTGGGACACGAAAAAGGTGTGCAACATTTGTGGAAAAGTGCTCTCACGCGGTGACAAACTGAAGAATCACATCCGAACACATACTAACAATTTCCCTTTCCACTGTGATACATGTGGCCAAGGATTTCTCCGATCTGAGGGCCTTCGTGTGCACAATCGAATTCATACTGGGGAACGTCCATATGTTTGCATGGTCTGTGGTAAAGCATATACGAGAAAAGATAAGCTGACTAGACATGCTATTGTTCATACTGGTGAAAGGCCATTTGTGTGTCAGCATTGTGGTAAATCTTTCACACGAAAAGATAAGATGCAGCGGCATGAGATGATACACAAAGTTGAAAAACCTTTCACCTGTGTTCCTTGTAATCTGGAATTTGTACGCCAGGAAACTTTCAATGCTCATATGGAAAGGAAGCATCCAGAACGACTTCCTTATACTGTAGTGCAGCATGCACGTTCTGGAAGCCCAGGATACAATCCCCAAGGACTTAATCTCTCAGATAGCAAGAGTGGTATCAAACTGTCTCTGGGCAGTTCTAAACAATCAAACAGTTCCACGTCAACAAGTTCTACAACCACCACTTCGAGCGCATCTTTTCAAAGCGGTCCCTCACTCACAGGTGGCTCATCAGTCCCTGCTGGTACCTCTTTAACAAGTGGACACTCACTCTTAAGTGGCACTTCACTGTTAGCTGGTTCACCACTTACCAACAGTTCTGCACTTTTAAGCAGTGTTTTACTCCCTAGTGGTAGTGGGGCTCACGCCTTATCATGAGCTTAATTGGCCTAAACAATTGGTTTCCTACATGGATGTGAGAGATTTCTTATCTATTACTAACTTCTCATGTAAGTTTTATCATAGAAGTATCTTTATAATGTATTACTTTTTAAGAGTAACATTTCGATATGACTTTGTAGCTTCGCTTATGTATTTCATTCGCATAATTGATGTACAGTATTGTTCAACTTTTTTTTAACAGTGACTGTGTTTTGAATAATTTTTATATTGCATAGATTGACACTTTATTGTAATGTAACTATTTTTTTTTTTGTAGCTTACATATTTTATTTCAGTATTAGAGCTCAAATTATAAATTATGTTTCCATTAGGCAAAAAAATCATGAAGTGATTTGAGGGTTTTAATTATTTTGTTTATCAGTAACAATGTCCAACTTTTATGTACAGGATGGGAAGTTTATTATTCTGAAGTCTCTTGTAATGATAATTATTCCCCAAACTAAGAGAGAAATGGCTATTAAAGAGAAAATCATGACTGTTAATTAGCTGCACTTATTTTACTATGTATTTTTTTTAATTATACGAATAGGGTAAAATTGCTGGTATCTGACTTTCTAACGTAAGTTATTGCACACTACAAATTTTCAAAGTCCAGAATATATTATTTGAGACATGATCCATAATTAAAAGAAAAACTGTTCATTTATCACATATTTTTCACATTTTTTATGTAAAACTCCAAATGAAAATCAACAATTGAATTTTGTTTTAATATGCTCAGTGACTTCCCAGGGCGTCAAAATGTGTCCTAGTCTTACACGCAACGTTATTTTACGTTATGCTACACGCTACTGTAATCTTCAAAAACTTTATCTAGGCAATATTAAATGAGTTACCATTCATATGTTAATAAAATAATCACTTATTAAAGGAGTTACCATTTAGAATTATATTCTATATCTTCCCACACTGTATGGGCAAACTTTCGAGCAAAGTATAAATGTTAACCAGTCATATTATAGATAGCTACCACAACAAATTAAATTTTAAGAGAGTTAACCCTCCAATATTTTCTAAGATCCAGCCCCCTTAAAGCTTGGTCTTCAAAGTTAAGGCCATGATTTCCCAAATTAAGTAAATGAAGTAGGCTCCTTTACCTTCTTATGCCCAAAAGTTTCTTTAGTTCGAGATTTTCTATGAAATATCTTTGGAACTCATTCCAATGAATCATTTAGAAGACAAGGTTTCATGACTGCAGTATTTTCAGAATAACATTTCTGGAAAACCTCCATTGAACAAAACATCAAAATTTGCCATTTCTAAAACTATAAATAGCCATATGATTTAAATTATAAACAGCACCCTAAACTATTGTTTTTCCCACACCCTATACTATTGTTTTTCCCACACCCTATACTATTGTTTTAGTTAGGATAGTCTATGACTTTTTTTTATCAACTCGATGAAACTTAGTAATTAAGATATAGCTCACTATTTCGAAAACTTCACCCCTAAAATTAAAACTAGCCATATGAACTTTTTCAAACCAGGTTAATCCAATTTTTCCCACACAAAGCTGCTTTTGATCAAGTTCACCCATGATCTTGGGAACCTGTTCCAATTAATAATTTAGGATATATGGGTTTATAACAAATTTCAGAATAAAATAGATAACACTTCCACTAAAATAAAATTTGATCTCCATCAAACAATAAAGAAGCACAAGAATAAATACAAACTTGAGAAAATATATGGTCTGCAGGAAATTACTTTACATTATGATCCAAAATTTACATAACATATGAATTTACATAACATATGAATAAGAGGAAACTGCACGGGGTATTAGCCCCTAAGAGGCAACTCCTCCACATCTATACTTCTCCAAACTCATTCCTTTATGCTCTATATCTAACCTATGCTTGAAAAACACTAGCAATTTCACAGCTATTATGTTACCTGGTAATGTGCTCCATAAACCAAAAATGCTGAAATCTGAACTTTTCTGACATCCACAATTTTGGAGAGATTCAGTGACCAAATTTATTCTAGTTTTTTTTTGTTTTAGGGATTCCCATTATCGAGGACCAGATTTCTTATTGGTTTACTGTATGGATATCAGATTTTAAAATATAAATGATATCTCTGTGGAAACTCCAATGTTGTGTATTGCAAGAGGAAATGTTAATTTGCAATTCCAGAGTAATGTCTGGAATTGTAATGGTTATTAAGCCTTTAAATATGTTGGCCTGCAGATATAAAGTGCTGCACAAAGTGTTTGTAAACACAGGTTGCCAATATTCTGACAGCTAGACACGTCACCAATTTGTAAATGACTGTATCTGTTCAGCAATTTTGTTTCATTTCTATTAGGCATCATTCCTATAATAATATGTAGTACCTGGCTCCTGAATGTTTGGTCAGCCCAAAGTTCGGCGACTTTCCTTGGAAATCACCAAGCTTTAAAATCTAATATGGCTGGACATAGTAGGATGGTGTGTAAGGAGTTTTTATTGGTGTTTTAAGATTGGTGGGTAGCCCTACCCACATTGCCAGACGCTGAAATTGGCCTTCTCATGCTGGTGGCTCATTTCTTGGTAGCCACTGGCTGTTAAGGTCTTATATAATATACAAGGTAGCATGGTGTGTGAACATGCATTGGTGGCACTTTCAATTCATTTGGAGATTTAGTACTGGGTTTCAGAAGCTGGGTACATGCAATGAGGCATTTGTGGTGCTGGTATCCAGCCATATACTTTATTACTGAAAATGCACCTCTCTAGTGTCTACCCCCACCCTGTGTAATTCCCCCTACACTGTGTAACCCCCATGTTTAGGAATCATAATACATCTGCCTGAACACTAACGAATACATATTAAAATATAATGCCTTAAATTTAATGATAAAAAATTAAATATTTTCTTACCATTTTCATTAGGAGCATGCTCTTAGTGATGAAAAATCAAATGTTATAACTTTTATTCCAACTCTCAAATATATTTCATGCTTCAATATATTATTGAAGTATATTTAAGGAATTTCTGACATTTGTGACTCTTCTATTCATTGGTGCAGACGTTAGAGAATTTTAGGCATCAGTTGCCGGATTCCAATTACCAGCTGGAATCTGATCAACTGGATACTGGTAACTGGCAGGATGCCTCCAACTTTACCCTATTCTCAAGACATGAGTATTGTTTGAAGAAGTCTGTCCAAGTAGATTGATGTACAAGGAAGATGATGACAGAAATATCTTTCTCTCAAATGTGGAACACTGTATGTATTCTAACCTAGAAAAATAATTATTTATCCTTTCAGCTATTTAATAGTAAAAACATGCATGTAGGCAGCTTTTATTACAATAATACATATTTTTCCTGCAGGGGTATTTTTAAAATTAAACAAAATTGCTGCAATATGTGCATTGTATTTTTCTTAATGGAATAGGGTAATACATGAAGTGGAATTAAACAAAATTAAATGGAAGATTGACCAGAAATATGAATCATAGAAGCTGCAAACATACTGTACAGTGAATCAATTATTAGATTAATAATAAATGACCTAATGATGTAGTTTGCATAGCTCTCTAACTGGCTTCTGCTGAAGTAGTATACTTCTAGTTCTTCAGATTAAATACTTGTTCCTTTGATAGGTTGCTAAGAATTACTGCATTTTTGTCATTTGTTATTAGGACTGGCTATGTTTTTTCCAACTAAATTTATTTTCATTTTGCTATCTTGTTACTTACCAAAAATTTTTTCATCGCTCATGATAATGAATAGAATGTGAACAGTGTTTCAATGACGTCATTATAGGAATCGTGAGAAAGTGAGCGGGCACTGGTCAGAGTCATTCTTAACCCTGTGTGGATTAGCCTATTTTTCCAAAACCTGGTTTCTTCCCCCTTTCCCCAGAACTGTATTTTTCAAATAAATTACCAATATACAGGTGGGTGTGTTAGAATTGCAGGTATATATATATATATATATATATATATATATATATATATATATATATATATATATATATATATATATATATATATATATATATGACAGTGACAGACCACGAAGGAAGAATTGAAATAGGAATTTTCTTAAGTACTTTCGTATTTATTAATACATCTTCAGAAGGTTCAGAAGGGTGATTAAATTAAATATGAAAGTACTTAAGGAAATTTATGTTTCAATTCTTCCTTTGTGATCTGACACTGTCACATTTTTCATCATGTGTTCATTTTCGTGATTTACACACACACACACACACACACACACACACACACACACACACACACACACACACACACACACACACACACACACACACACACACTTAGATTTAATTTAAATTTAAATTTAATTTAGATTTAAACTAGCTAAACACAGATGCCGAAGAAATATAAGAAAATTCACCTTCGCAAATAGAGTGGTAGACGGTTGGAACAAGTTAAGTGAGAAGGTGGTGGAGGCCAAGACCGTCAGTAGTTTCAAAGCGTTATATGACAAAGAGTGCTGGGAAGACGGGACACCACGAGCGTAGCTCTCATCCTGTAACTACACTTAGGTAATTACACTTAGGTAATTACACACACACACACACACACACACACACACACACATATATACAGTATATATATATTTATTTATTTTTGCAGTTACTGCATATCTAATTACTTTTATTATATAAACAATAACTATCAAAGCTTAAATCATTTTTGTGAGGTACAGTATAGGCTATACATGAAGTATAATGTAATTCATGTACTTTAGCAATGTAACCGGGATGCTGCCCCGACAATTTAGTACAGTGTGGCAGTGTGGGTAGATGAGGTATGATATTTCAACCAGGTGATTGGTTTGATTGCCAAGAATAACAAGATTGTATGGGGTGCAAAATAATATGGTTTGGATACATATAAAGGTAATGCTCAACTGTTATCTGATGTGATTGGGAATTGTTACGATTAATGATTTTGCATCAAGTGACAGTACCTGTCTGCAAAGGGTAAATATTTCTGCTTATGGAATGCATTCTCAAACTTTTGGGAATGATGATTCTAGTGACATCTTTAATTCAATGGATGCCCTGAGTGGAAGCACAGTATGGATTAGAATAAACAAATATTTCATAGGAAAGACTGTAATTTTCCCTTGTAATTAAATGATTTTGTTTATAGTATTTATATGGTTTTATGATGGACTCAATTTGTAAGACTATTATGTTAAACTTACTGACCAGTAGCCAAAAATTTGGTTTAGAATAAGTTTAAATAATTAATTTATTTATATACAAGGTACAATGGATTGTTAAAGTACATATTTTGATGATTAAAGGGTAAATTCTTACAAAGCCACTAACACGCATAGTGTACATCTTTATGTGTAGCGTTAGCTGAACAGTGAGATAATATTTTGACTTGAAGGTTTTCAAAAAATTTGATGTTATGTACTCTAATTTGTTATGATTCTGTCCTGTGAAGTAAAGTTCTCGATAGTCTTGGCTAAAGCTGCTTCTATGCATTTTTGTATAATTTTAACCATCACAGATTGTAAATAAATTGTGCTGCTTTTCTTTAGACTAACAGTCTCAATAAATAAACAACCCAACTTGTGGTGTATGAAATAAAAGGATGGACTGAAATGTCATCACTTTCATTACACTTGTAGGCTGTGTAATTACACTTATTTGTTTCAGTCGCATTATTGTGACTTATTATCATCATTATTATATATCACATTATCGCTGCAGTCTTAATAACTGTGTATCTTTTGAAAATGTGGATATTGACTGCCTCTGGGCAATATATTTATTTAAAAATTGATTGAAAAGATGTAATCACCAAACCACTCAGCAGAAAGTGAAGAAACATCCACCTGATTGAAAAGATCGATGTTAGTACCATTTTGCAGAGAAAAAGCAAATCTAGAATCCAGTCGAAGCAAGGGAATAAGTTTAGCACTTAGGACATGGTACTGTAACTAGATGCTTCCTCGATAACCCTAGGAATACCATTTCATTTGCATGAAGATGCACTTGAATGAATATGAACTATGAGAGGGGTTTTCTGATTATCAACGGTTGGCATGACATCATTCTATGGTAACAGCTATATATTTAACAGTTTATAGTACCCTCACAATATCAGTTACATAAAATAGGTGCTTATACCATATATTTTTTTCATTATTAATGCACATCAGCAAAATAATATTTGCAGGAATATTATTGCAATGCATAGACATACTTGCAAGTATGTCTATGCATGTTCACATTGAACATTCACTGTACTGTGACTACATTACCTCTTTGGGAAGGTCTGAAGTGTTCAATTCTGTGAAGCCCCAACATATGTAGTGAAGGTTTTTGCATATTGTACCCCCCATCACAGTCCATCAATGCCTTTCCTTGAAAAACCAATAACATGGAATATATCCACGAACATGCTCACAACTGTTCTAATTACAGATGGGGCTGCAATCTGCTAATGTAGTTGGCTTCCCTTATTGCTCTCATAGCAACCTTTATGTGTTATCTTTCTCCAGAGACAAGTATTTTCACTGCGGGACTTAATTCAATTGTGTAAGCTTTCAGATGGTTACAATTCATTATAGGGTTCTTGACTAACAATTAGGGGATCCTGGGTTAAATTCTCAGCTGGGACAAATAGTTGGGCATGTTTCCTTTCACCTAATGCCTCTGTTAACCTAGGAGTTAATAGGTACTTGGGACTTAGGCAGCTGTTGTGGGGTTACATCCTGGAGAAGGTAAGTAGTTTGACTTAGGGAGCACCTCGATACAAGTCATGGTGTGTGTGTGTGTGTGTGTGTGTGTTGTACCTGGTTTTAAAATTATGAATAGTATTTGCTTCCACAACCTGTTCCTGAAGTGCATTCCATTTCCCCACTACTCTCACGCTAAAAGAAAACTTCCTAACATCTCTGTGACTCATCTGAGTTTCAAGCTTCCATCCATGTCCTCTCGTTCTGTTACTATTCCGTGTGAACATTTCGTCTATGTCCACTCTGTCAATTCCTCTGAGTATCTTATACGTTCCTATCATGTCCCCCCTCTCCCTTCTTCTTTCTAGTGTCGTAAGGCACAGTTCCCTCAGGCGCTCTTCATACCCCATCCCTCGTAGCTCTGGGACGAGTCTCGTTACAAACCTCTGAACCTTTTCCAGTTTCATTATATGCTTCTTCAGATGGGGACTCCATGATGAGGCGGCATACTCTAAGACTGGCCTTACGTAGGCAGTGTAAAGCGCCCTAAATGCCTCCTTACTTAGGTTTCTGAATGATGTTCTAACTTTTGCCAGTGTAGAGTATGCTGCTGTCGTTATCCTATTAATATGTGCCTCAGGAGATAGATTAGGTGTTACGTCCACCCCCAGGTCTCTTTCACGCGTCGTTACAGGTAGGCTGTTCCCCTTCATTGTGTACTGTCCCTTTGGTCTCCTATCTCCTAGTCCCATTTCCATAACTTTACATTTGCTCGTGTTGAATTCTAGTAGCCATTTCTCTGACCATCTCTGCAATCTGTTCAGGTCCTCTTGGAGGATCCTGCAATCCTCATCTGTCACAACTCTTCTCATCAACTTTGCATCATCCGCAAACATCGACATGTAGGACTCTACGCCTGTAAACATGTCATTAACATATACAAGAAATAGAATTGGTCCCAGCACCGATCCTTGTGGTACTCCACTTGTTACTGTGTGTGTGTGTGTGTGTGTGTGTGTGTGTGTGTGTGTGTGTGTGTGTGTGTGTGTGTGTGTGTGTGTGTGTGTGTGTGTGTGTAATTACCAAAGTGTAGTTACGGGATGAGAGCTACGCTCGTGGTGTCCCGTCTCCCCAGCACTCTTTGTCATATAATGCTTTGAAATTACTGACGGTTTTGGCCTCCACCACCTTCTCACCTAACTTGTTCCAACCGTCTACCACTCTGTTTACAAAAGTGAATTTCTTATATTTCTCCGGCAGCTTTGTTTTGTTAGTTTAAATCTATGACCTCTTGTTCTTGACGTTCCGGGTCTCAGGAATTCTTCCCTATCAATTTTATGGATTCCTGTTACTATTTTGAACGTAGTGATCATATCACCTCTTTTTCTTCTATCTTCTAGTTTTTTCATATTTAATGCCTTTAACCAAAAATAAAAAACCAAAATACAAAAACTAAAATACAAAATCGCACGTCGTTTCGAACCTCCATGGTTCGAACCATGGAGGTTCCTCCTCCATACCAGTACGGGGTCAGGTGATAAAACAAATACAATAAGGGTAAAGACAAGGGGGATGCATAGGGGATAGATGGGGGACAAAGCACATACAAAGATTAATCAGGTGTAATAGGCCTGTTATGTTTTATCACCTGACCCCGTACTGGTATAAATTATCGAGTTCTGTAATTTCTTATCACTTGAGAATGAACCATGGAGGTTTGAAACATTGTGCAATTTTGTAATTAGTGTAATATATTGTTCAGTTATTCAATTCTTTTCTTCACCTAAAAACAACATGACTTTTGGTGAACTCTTCTAGCTGAACCCTGATGCAAGAGCATTAGTAAGAGGGATAGAAGCCCTAAATCAGAAAATAGTAAATACGGAATATGCTGTGATATTCAATGTGACATGCATAAAAGAAAACCTGTTGCCAGTATACACCAATATATTATACGTATATATATATATGTGTGTGTGTGTCGTACCTAGTAGCCAGAACACACTTCTCG